TTGGATTTGCCCTTTCCTTTCCCCTTGGACATGCTCTCCAACTTATGCTCCGTCTTCTTGCTGTGGGAAAAAGTGCATTCATTTCCTTTCACGCACCCCTTCGCCGATTTGAAGTGGTACCAGCAGGGGTTATCCTTGCTTCCGCCCGGACTCTTGCCTCTGTCGCTGGCACCGTCGGACTTGCCGTTCTTGCCAGCGTGGCCCTTTGCCTTGGCTTTTGGGAGCACAGGAGCGGCATCAGGTCCACCGGGTTTCCCCTTTCTGCCCTTGCCACCCTGGTTCTCCTGTTTGCCAGTTGCTGGAGCCGCATCCTTCCCGCCTGACTTCATCATCGACTTGACCGATTTCTCCTTCATGTCGAGCATCAGGTCTTCCCGATCTGCCTTGATCTGATAGTCGATCAACGCCAATAAGAATTCATACGTCTTCTGAGGATGCTTGTCCGGTAGTCTATGGTAGGCATTGAGGCCGAACTCCATCTTCTTGCTCCCTTTGATCTTCCTGTAAAGGATGTCTCTGAGAGCCAGCTTACTGGGTCTGTCCTCGCTCCTCATCTTCAGCAGCAAATCATACCATTTGTTCCTGAACATGACCAAGTTCTTGTCGCCAGGAAAGTCAAGGTTGAATAGATGCTCGATGTGGTAGACAAGATCCGTTCTATCGGAAGTTCTGAATGATTGCATAACTAATGCCACCAACTCTCGTCCCTTCACGATCACCCCTTGTTGATGTCGTAGTTCAGAGTGTCGTGTAGCATCGAGGTATACGTCCTTGGCTTCGTCAGGTGCTTGTTTCAGCATGTTCTGCATGCCCATGGCCATCTTAATATCTATCGTAGCAAATCTGTCGCCACCTGAATCGCTAAGCAAATCCAGGTCTGGGTTCAACCCAAGAGCCTGCTCCAACCATTTCGTCCATGCATCGGTATCTGGATCTGCACATGCGCTCAGAACATTCATCAGCAGTTGCATCTTCCAGCTATCAAGTTGATGGATCTTTGGCCAGGCCGGAATAGATACTCTCTCGGCCTCTTTCCTCGAGATTCTCGGTCGATCATTCTTGATCTCTCGGTTATCTCTCGATCTCCTTCGTCTCCTCCGTGTCCGATCGTCGTCTTCCTCTTCTTCTTCTTCGTCTTCTTCATCTCCTTCGTCGTCGTCATCCTCATCCTCATCATCGGGTGGATCATCCGGAGGTCCTCCTCCGCCACCAGCGAGGCTCAACTGACGTCGACCTGCTCCCTGCCCCTTCCTATTGGGCGGGAATCCACCGTAATCCAATGGGGGCGTAGTACCGTTGTTTCCCCCTCCATCACCGCCACCATTCGCAGTAGTGGATTGTGGGACATGTCCGACAACTCCTTGCATCTGGGATAGGTGTACATCGATCATTGGATCACCGAAAGACGGAAAGAGGATCGAACCTGGCATCAGCGACGAATTAGGGATCTGAATTGAAGACGATGACGGGACTGACCCAGCCACCTTCTTGTCTACCCTAGTTGAATTAGCTTGGGTTCCTCCCTCAGCGCGTTTCACTACTGCTCGTTCACGATGTCCATCTTTGCTGTTGGAGGCTTCCTGTGTCTCCAGCTTCTTGTGTGCACGTAGTTCCTCGTTGTCAGCATCGAGTTGACGTACAAAACTCTCTTCTTGCTTGAGCGCCGCCTCTCTTTCCTTCAGTTGTCCCTGAAGCTCATGCATCTCCTCGAGGTACTCATCGTACATTCCCTTAGCTGTCAATCTCCAGTACTCAGCCTCCTTCGACTTCTCGTCTATCGTGCACCGTTCTTCTTGTTTCTCTTCTTTGACCTGGGCTAACTCCAAGATCGCATCTTGACGATGACCACCTTCGACAGCAATCATCTGGTCCTTCATCGACACGTCGGATTCATACTGTTTGACGATCTCTTCCTTTTCGCGAAGCAAGCAATCTGCTCTCTTCGACTCTTGTTCCGCAAATACTGTAACGTCATTCAGTCTCGTCATCAGCTGTTCCCTGGAGTCCTCCAAAGAGTACATCTCGGGGCGCTTACGAGTGCATGCTCCAACTGTGATTTCAGACTTTGGACCATCTCCTCCTCATTGAACTTCTCGATAGATGTAGAAGATTCTATGCCTCTGATCTGTTGCTGATAAACTGATATCTGCTGTGAAGCCTCACGGTGTATCTGATTTGCACGTATAGCTGATTCCTGCGCAGCCGACTTCTCGCTTGCCATGTAGGATTTCATCAATGCAATTTCCCGCTTCTGCTCCATGATAGTTCCTTCAGCTTGTCTCATCTGTTGCATTATAATATTCGACTCCATGTCTTTCTTCTCCCCGTACTGAAATGCGTTCATTTCCACCTTGCGCATCTGTTGGGCTTCTTCCTCAAACTTGCGCCATGCCTCAGCCATGTGGTGTTGGTGGTGACTCACTAGATGTCCCGACTGCTTGCTGGCAATCTCGCATCGTCTTTCCAGCTCCTGGATCCGGATGGTGCTTCCATAATCTTCCTGATGAAGATTCGCCATAGCTGCCGACATTTCATCAAGTGTCTTTTGATATTCCCCGATCTCCACCTCCATCTTATTCTTCTCTTTGATCGCGGCGCGAAACTCCGCACTGGTGGGTGATTTTGACCTCCCACCCTTCGATGTCGATCTCACGCCCTTCTGCGACGTCCGTGGTGTCGCAGGCGAAGATGATGATCTTCTCGGTGGGGATTCTCTTTTCTTCGACTCCTGATGAACATCGATCTGCTTCCATGATCTTGTGGGAGTGGAAATGTCGCTGAATAGCGCGGAACCTCCGCTCCCAGGTTCATCCTGTGAATCTGCAATCATATCCATCACCGCAGGAAGAGCCATCAATCCATTGGATCCCTCTGAGCTGCTGTTCCCAAAAGTTGCAGTACTTGGGCTCGCCGAAGACGCCATTGTACTGTGTAGGTTATCGTTCCTTTATTGTCCCTGTACCCGCAATAAACCAGCTGTCTCCCAGTCCAGTGTAGAGCTTGTAGATACGGCTGATAACCTGTCAAGAGACGGCAAGGTGACGTCCCGTGGGACGCTATGCACCGAACCCTCAAGCTGTAATACCAACCACGTAGAAAGGTGTATACGGACGATGCCGTTATAGCCGAACCCGTGTAAACGTTGTAAGGGAGAAGGAATGATAGTTACAACAGTGGTCCTGACAAATGCAGCGCAAGCGAAGTGTTTTCGCTCTCAATGCCGATCACGTATGTATGCAGTCACACATCAGATCTTGAACCTCAATTGTGTCTTGAGCCAAATGGCGATCAATGGAACTTGGGAAGCAACACCAACAAGGACCTCAGAACTGCTACCCAATTTCGGCACGGGGCCTAGAGGGTTTTTAACAGCAAGTATAGTAACATAGTGAGGGGCCGGAATCCGGAATTCGTCCATTCCCTTCCATTTCCTTTCCATTTCCTTTCCATTTCCTTCCCATGTCCTCTCTGTTTCTTTTCCGTGTCCTTTCCATTCCCTTTCCCCCATCCATTAGCTTTCCATTTCCTTTCCAGTTCCTCTCCAGCCTTGCTTGGCAGCAAGTTGGGAAGCAATGTGGAAACTTTGGCAGGCGTCAGGCCTGCAGTTTGGCTTGAGCAGTGATTTGAAAAGCCTTGCAGGCATCACAGCCAATGGAGTGTTCTCATTCATGCACCACCATGGCCTGGATGCTCATGGTCTGCTCAGCAGAGCATGCAGCATTCATTGCCGCTGCTCATCCAACTCAGCCCAAGCAGCTCTATCAAATTGCCCCTGCACGTGTTTTCAAGCAGGCGCCTTGATAAAGCTAACCCTCCGAACTTCGGCCTGTAGACCAGTCGGCCATCTCCAAGGCGCTGAAGGTGCGACTCCTGCGCAGGGCGCGCCAAGATCTCTTGCAGGGTGTCCCTGGACGTGTGGGCAGGAAGACCTCCAACAAAGATGCCAGCGGGCGCGCTGGCCAAAGGTGGCCTGGGTCCGGTTGAGCGACGCCCGCCTCAATGTTGATTGGTGCGGCGCTTTCCCTGGCCGGGCTTTGGCGGGAGGCGCCGAGGTTCCCCACCCACACGTTAGGCCAAGCACTTCCCCAAACCTTTTTGCACTGGATTTTCTGCTTTTACAGTGGTAGCAACCGGAAAATCCTCTACGTGCTGCCGATCAACAAGGTAATTGACCCCCACCATCCTGGCCATCCTCGGGTGGTCGGGGTCCAGCCTTTGCCAATCAAGGTGGGTTGGCTTGACCAGACTGGCCTTCCCTAGGGGCTGCCTTTGCCAATGGTAGGCTTTCGCGGGGGGGCAGCAGGAGGTGAACGAAGCAGAATCTCTTTGTGTTGCACAGCGAAGGGCCATGGAAACACGATCTAAAAGAGGTGTCCAGCAAGCTTTCATGCGCTTCCGAAGCTATTCTCCGGACACCCCGATGAAAGAAAGACTGCAGTGAAATGCTTCTCTTCACGCACTTCCAAGAAACATTCTTTGGACGCCTTATTGAAGATTAGCGAAACGCTTGACAGTGCAGAGGCGTCCGGTGTTCATAGAATCTTCTTTTTAAATAGGTATCTAACAAGTTGCGTTAGAAGCCCTTCCAAAAAGAATGTCTGGACACCCTGTTCAATCAAAGGTTGTGGCAACCACCTGCAAAGCTGATCGCCCGGCAACAGCGCGTTCCAGCTTGCATACTCATACGGACCGCTCACCACGCATGTCTATATTCATCCATACTGTGGACACCAGGGACTTCCATAATACATCGGTCCAACATTGGCATATTGGATTCTCCTCGGCAAAGATCCAGGGAGCACAAAGAGACCACTAACACAATAGTAGTAGTAGTAGTAGTAGTAGTAGTAGTAGTAGTAGTAGTAGTAGTAGTAGTAGTAGTAGTAGTAGTAGTAGTAGTAGTAGCAGTGGCAATCTCCCACACCCTTTGCTCTTAGTTTCTTAGTTGGAACACTTTGCTTCTTCACACCAATCTCCAACACCCTGGACACAGCCCGAGCCTTCATGGCCGAAATGTCCTCCTTGCCTGGCGATCCACTCATCAACCTTTTAGTGGTATTAAAAGCGGTAAAGTTACCCCGAAAGGACGACCGCCAGTTGTTCCTATGCACCGGGCCCACTGATAACATCAAGGCTATACCTCCAGAACCCCTACCTTGAGGCAGCTCCTTTCCCACAGAAGAGAAGCGGTAGGGGGCTTCTAATAAATTCATTGCCCACACCCGTATTTATGCTTGAACCCTTCATGCCCATAACGACGTCCACCGGTCCCTGACAAATCTAGACCCATAACCTCCAAACAGCGAGACCGCCACGGTCAATTTTCATTGTCTCCAGAGTGCTGACATGGCTCTTTGGCGAACCTGATGTACCCTTCCTCCCAAGAACATAGCATCTGTGCGGAGGTGCCTGGAAGATCAAATTCCTCTTGGAGGGACCCACTGTTAGGCCCGGGAGGAACGGTATATTCCGCAAAGAGAACACATCGACTCACTTCCCAAGTGGATTGGCCCAACAAAAGTCCAAAGATTGAATTTGCCAATGTGGTCCAAAACGAAAGAGTCCAAAGTCCAACCGGGGGAGCAGGTTGAGGACAGTAAAGCTCCATTTGTCTAAGTCTCATGGAAAAAGTAAAACACATTGCACAAATAGATTCTCTTTTGATCCAACCGGGAAAGCAATACACAATGTCCCATGAAATTCAAGGGAAAGAGCTGGCCCGTTTTTGATCAACGCCCGAGTCGGACAGCTCTATAGCGCCCAGGTTAACCTTCTGGGACCTTGACTACATGTAGACCAACACGGGAAACCTAAAAGGTCAAACTTCAGGTCGATTCTCTACGGACAACTGAGATAAGCAAAATGGAAGCAAATACTCGGTTGCTTTCTGCTCCCCTGCTAAAAGTTTAATGGAACACCCATTAGTTTGCAAAAAGTTAAAGTCCTAACATCCCTTGGCAAAATGCACCTCTGAATATTAACCATTGCTCATGCCAACTCGAAGCGCGGGACATCGCCTGTGGCGATGTCGAACTTCAGGGATGCCAGCCTCAGGGGCATCGGATCGGTCGGAGTGGAGCCGTGGGTGTGGTGTGGCTCGGCACTCTGCTGAAGGGGGTGTTGAAAGGGAAACGAAGGAGGGAAACCAAACATGCAACTCACATTGAACAGGCAAGTTCAAAAGTTGGACATATTCCTGTCTGTTTGAATCACTGTGCAAAGAGATGCAGGAAACAAGCAAAGCAAACGTGTCATGTCCTTTTGGTGTGCCTTTAAAAAACAAACGCCAGGATCTGGCAGTACTGCTGCCTGAGCCCAACTCAATGCTGCCAGCTCCTGCATGCTTCTAAAAGCGCCATGCAAGTGCCTCTGCTGCTTGCAGACCCACCAATCATGGAATCTTCGGGGGGGCTCGGGGGGGGGGGGCTATCCCTGGGTAAGCCCAGGATAACTGAAGTGATAAGCCCTTAATAAGGCCTTATTCAGGGCTTAATAAGGGATCCGCATAGCCCCCCTTAAAGGTCCATGAACCAACCATGTTTAGCCGATTCCCTCTTCAAAACGATTCACAGCTTTTTGAGCCTCTCTCTTTTGAGGTGCTCCCTAGCACCTTGGTAGGGCTGGAAAAGGCATGTGAAAGGTCTGGGGCGCATCTGGCACTTCTCGCATCGCAACCGTGTTATTTTCCAGCGAAACCCAAGAGACTCGCCGGTGCGTGGAGTATTGCCATATGGCCATGGGTCAAAGCCCCGTACCCCCAGTGAACATTACAATCCCCACTAAAATAAGACCAAAATGGGTTGTGCACCTACCCCCAAATGGTACCATTCGTTTTGAACAATGGCCATATCCGCAAACAACCTCATCTTGGAGCATCCTGCAAGGACATCTCTCTTGACCGAGGCAGCGGCTCGGCATTGATGGCGAGCATCTTTGTTTTCAGCTTGTCCGCTCTGGTCTCTTTGCTGGCCTTGCACAATCAAAGTGCATTCTCTTGTCCAATAAAAAAAGTCAGGCGTGCACAAAGGGAGGTGTGTTTTTTGGAGTTTGGGCGCTAAACCGGCCTCTTCAATGGTGGGGCGCCTTTTCGACCTTGTTTCTCCGGCCCAGGTGTGTTGCCGACCTTCAAGGCCCAAAAAACACCCAGTCCGTGCGCAAATCATTGGCTCGCCGACTTTTGTAAGTAAAGCGCTCGGCCTGTCTTAAGCCAGGCAACATCGACCCATGAACAGAATTCATAGCGTATCCCGGTGGTTCAGTCAGCCTGACTGAGAAAGGGACACCCGTTTTGGGGCTGGGCATGTTAGAGGGGAAGCCAGAAGGGTCACCTCTAGGGGTTGATTCCTGTTCCATTCTTTTCAACCGTCGCTCCTTTAAAAGACCGGATCCGTTTCTTTGGGATGCCGGAGGTTTTCTAAGATCCGGATCCCTGGGTTCAGAATGGACATTACCCCCAGATCACCAGCCAAGACCGCCATGCTGCAAACACAGCGCACCAAGCATCCTCTTCTCGACCTGAGAGATTGGCCCCCAAAAAAGTCCCGGAACTTTTTGCGTAGTAAAACTGGTCCAAACCAAAAAAAACAAAAGTTCAAAGGAACTCAGGGAGGGAGTAGGGTGTGGATGCCTAGGCCAACCTTTGCTAGGGTTCCTTCCATCCGACCTCGGATCGACGGTGTCCTTTTGGAGAACGGCGCCTGAAGACAAACTCATGGTTGGTACGTCTATCCAAACGAGTCTATCCAAATGACTTGGCTACAAATGGCAATGTGGCAATGGGTCAAAATCCCGTACCACCAGTGAACATCCCAATCCCCACTAAAATAGACTAAAATGGGGGGTGCACCTACCCCAAAATGGTACCATTGGTTTTCACCCACAGCCATGTATCCAACTCAACTTTGGTATTTTGGTGTGTTTCCATCAGGCTGGTTTCCCAGGCTGAAAAAACGGGCCCACCTCCCACTTGGCTTCTCTTTTACGAACCATAGGTCTTCCATTTCAGGACATGAACTCTGCGGCGGCTAAGCATCGCCTGCGCTTTGGCATAGGTCACCCCCCCATGTTTGTTTGGTCTCCTTGGTCTTACAGGTAAATGGGGAACCACTGGATTTGTCTCACCCCAAAACCCATCCCCAAAAAAGTCGGAAGTTTTTAAACCGCCTTTTTCGCCTTTACCCCCGGCGCCCGGTCACCCCGGCCATCCGCTTTACCCACGCCTTGGACATGTCGGTGTTCCCCATCTCGGACTTACACCACGAATCCTTCCGAGCATCTTGGGCCTGCTGCTCCTGGCAGGCTGCCAGGCTGGCGCTCTGGTGCCGAAGCCTTCATATGTAGTCAATGCACGGGCTTCAGCTGGTAAATGGGATGGCATAAAACCAAAACCGGTGGGATGCCCATCTATTTCTGGAACCAAACTCACTCCCAAAAGGACACCCATCCTTTTGTGCAACCCTGAACCCCCCCCTCTAATCCTGGAAGCTCACAAGAAACTTTCGGACGACCTTTCCCCTTTCTGGAAGCCCCAGCAACGGGCTCACTTCCGTGGGCAAAGCTGCATCTCGGCATCCTGAACTTGGGGAGGCTTTTGGTCTCAGCCGTGGGATAAGACTCCCGATTTTAGGAGACATGGGATAACACTGCTTCTAGGTCCTTGAGTAGAGTGGTTAGAATAAGGGTATCAACTTGTTTCTGTAGTCTATTTAGGGGAACCCTCCCCCAAAAAAGGGGTGAGAAAAGGGCACTACTGGGGGGACCTAGGCTTCATGGCATACAGCCAGAGAGCGGGCGGTCCCAGCTACTATGTTCTTTGTGTATTTCGAAGATGGCCAGAACTAATCTCGATGGGCCAAAACAAGCCTGAACTTTTCATGTACCACTACAATGGTCGTTCCAAAAAGTATAGGAACTCAAGGAGTGAGTTATATGGGTTTGCTGCAGAAGTGGCAATTTCTTTGGCACCTAGCAAATTCCCGGCATCTGAATTAGTTCAACAGTTCTTGAGCATGGCAAGCTGCAAGGTCGTTGTAATGTCCGCGAGGAGAACGCCAGCTTGTAAGGGATGGTCTTTCCAACAACATGACCATAGCCACGGCATCCATGTGTCCAAAAATACAGCGTGCACATGTCTGTAGAACAGTAGGCAGTGGGGCAGCAGGAACGAAAGAACCTCCACAATCTCTACGGCCGACACATCCGACAATGTGGATGGCTCACACCAACCAAGGTTTCTCGCCTGAGACATATAGTGATGCTAACTCTCGGTTCAGTCTTTCTCATTCATGCGCATTCCTCCCCTCCCCCCGTGACCTGGAGTTTACTCAGCATGTCGTGGATCATCGCCTGGCATGCCCAAAAAGGGAGAGGCAATGGCTCTCACAAGCTGCCCTTCAGAAAAAGCTGTTACAGCTCGGTGCGTGGAAAGGAAACCCAATGTGAATGATGTCCACCAAAGCGTCAAGTAATCTCTTCCCCCTATTAATAAATACGGCCCCCCCCTATTATAAATAAATCCCCCCAAAAAATTTTTTTTTTAATTGGGGTTTTTGGGGTTGTTTTTTTTTGCTTTTCCAACAATGTGAGGGTTCACGTAGGATTTGGATGAAATGGATTGAATTGTAAGGTCCGCTAGTAAGCGGTTCAATAAGGAAATTTGATGTATCATTCTATTTGTTTACCAGTTTGCTGGTTGTTTGTTTGCAACCAGGCAGGTTAATTAGCCAGCATGAGAACCACCAAAAGAACCCAACCTTTTGAGAAGCCAGCTTTTGGGAAAGCAAATTTTTGGGGAATTGAGGAACCCACCTGTTGAAAAGTGAGGCTGGAAGCTTGCCAAAAGTGCCCCCTAATAAGGATTCCAAGACGTTAGTATTGGTTTAGTATTGGCGCAATGGAAAATCAATTGTGTGGAGTGGAAATCTGGTCCCGGGCCCCGGATTTGCATTTATTATTAATTGGGGTCATTCATTAATTGGGGGAACAGATTAGAGAAACAGCAAACCCAAGTAGCCCCAGGAAAACACCAGTTGGATAGTTTCTCTCGGGGTCGTTCCATTTCTCATTCCCTGCTGAGAACCAGCAGTAAACATATGAGGACATGTTTCCTGCGGTGAAAACGGTTCCCTTTAAAACCAATGAGGGAAAATGAAGAAGTAGTGTAGGTCCTCCAGTAGAGAGGTTAGAATAAGGCAACTCTTTTTCTCTGTAGTCTATTTTAGTAGGGGAACCCTCCCCAAAAAAAAGGGGTAAATGGGCACCTAGCTGGGGGACCTAGTAGTGAACTCCTTCCCTTTCCGGCGCAGCGATCGGACTCCGGACCGCGCCTTGACCTTCTTGAAGACATCTTTCCTCGCAACATTTGACACGCCTCCCTCGAAGTGGCGGAATCCAAAAACCACCAAGTCAGGGCTACCTGAAACATGCGAAGCTCCTTCCCTGTTGACGTTCCAAACATTAAACAAAAAAACACATAACATGAGTTCCAGGCGTCCCATTTGCTTGTACATCCACGGGAAAGAATCAACATATTTCCAGTAGTGATAGATACCCCAAACGGCTTGATTTTCTGAACATACACCCCACATGAACTCCAGCGCACATCTCGGGACGGCTACCCCGCGGCTTCTGTCGGCCAACTGGGCGAAACCAAAGCGCCGCTCAATGAGTAAAAATTCAGCTCGGAGCCCTCCAATTCTCCAACCCACCCCCGATTCCGCAACTCCCCACCACATTTTCCCAACTCCAAGCCCAGCTCAAGCCCCCCAGCTCAACCCAACCTCTCCCCTCGAACCAAGCCCCCTCCCGCAGCCCCCAAGTCGTCGGAAGCGCCCCGGAAACCCCGCTGGCCTTCCAGTGGACTGCGACTCCATCAGCAAAGCCGCCAGCCCAGGGCTGGTCGCCTGACCCACCAGCCGCGCCTGGGCGAAACAAGCGCTTCGACCAAACACGCCCCGAGCCGACCATGCTAGAACCCGAAAGCCGGCGAAGGACCAAGAAATTGGGAAGGGGATTGTCCCTAACCTTCATCTATCCGGGGTTTCAGCAAGTGGCTCACCCGGGAGCTGAAAGTAACGCGATACCCATGAAGGGCCTTCACCTGAAGGTGCCAAGGATTTTTGCAAGACGTTCTGCATAGGTTTGCAACCACAAACATACGGGCCCCTTTTTGGGCACCCTTTTGCGACGCGTTCCCAGGAACATAGACCCTTTTGGAGCACCCTTTTGTGACGCGTGGGCAAAACCGTCATTTAACAATCCACCGCATATTGTTGCCAGCCGCGCGTGTGTCAGGGATCCTGGTGCTCAGCACATAAGCTCTCTATGACTCATGCAAACATTTGGATCTATGTCGTTCAAGGGAAATGGGCTTGCTCATAGGCCCAGTAGCAACCCCACAGGGAGCCACGTCAAAACTCCTGGGGGGGATCATCCATGGCAAAAAGATTTAGACTGCTGGGCCAGTTTTTGATCCTGATTCTTTTGGTTGGTAAGAGAACATGAAGGAACACCAAAATGGCAAACAGCAAACACTTAGCTAAATGACCGTACCACGTGTCGTGCCCCAAACAACTCACTAGAGCATGACTCTTAAGTTCAGATACGTAGGCCACAATCTACGGTTGGCAATGCTTCGAGGTGCGTGCTCGAAAAGGCACTTGAAGTCTCTGTAAATGAGCAGTCCGACAACCTGGTTTAGCTGTCGGCACTTTGGGTTCCTTTGAGCAACTAGGTTTGCTTTCAAACAAAACACATGTGCGGTGGTGCTGGCTGTACAGAACTTCAAATGTAAATCCAGTCATTCTGAAGTGAAACCACAGCACAGCAACCATGGTCGACACGCTGATTAATTTTCTGAAAAAATCCATCAACTCGGTTCACACGAGAAAGTCGGTCAGGCACTCCGTACAAATCGCCGCGCAGCTCTCTCGGACGTTCCCATTCAAATGGCCAGCTATAGAAGTAAGAAGCCTCCAACGCATCGGTCCAGAGGCCAAGACTTCACCGGAATCAATGTGAAAGGGATGGCCGTACCAATTGAGCTAAACTGGATCATGCACCGCCATCAAGGATGGATTTGTAGCAGAGGTGCAGCGGCTCAACACAATGGTTTCAACAATCGAAGGCTCAGATACAAACTGTCAAGACCCAATGTGGGCTGCCCTCAGATCCCCCGCTAAAAGTGAACAACTAGCCGCGAAGCCTGGAACCCTGAGCGCGATCTTCGCAAAGGACCTACGCACCGATCGCCACTTGGAGCCAGTTCCCAAAGCCTGCAATGACAAAATGGCTCATGACCAAGTAAAGAGGCGGCTCCCCTTTTTGGTTGGCAATATCCCCGACTAACCTTCCACGCGGGTTTTGATTGTGGCTGATGATGGCTGCAGGGAAATCATGCGACCCTATGTTCGGCGTTGAACAAAGATCTCGGGTGTTAACAAACGCCCTGTTGCCCAGCGACCAGCGTCTGGGACCGCGGCGACGTGGCGTCTGCTCGCGCTGCTGATGCGCTCCTGCCGCTTGCATGAAGCATTTCCCCATTGACATGGGCTTCCTAAAATCTGTGACGCCTCCAAATCATGAGGTATGCATGTGTTTGCCGTTGAATCCATCCGCAAGAGCAGGTTATCTTCAGAAACATCCAACTCATGTCTTGCTTGCAAGGCCCCCCTTTTTTCACCCTCAAATCCCTCAAAATCCACCTTCAAACCCCTCCCCCAAAAGCCCAAACCAACCACCAAACTCCGAATTGCCAAACCAGAAAAAACGACCCACACACACACACACATTCCTTTCCCAGTTGGGAACGAATGTCCCCATAACAATCCAAAATCCACTGAGGCATGTCTCTCAGCCTTGCCACGCCACGTAAACATATGTGCCAGCATGTGCGTGCATCTGGGCGGGCAGGTTAACATATGTGCCAGCATGTGCGCAAGTGACCGTGCAGCGGGGCACGTTAACATATGTGAGTGACCGTGCATCTGAGCGGGCAGGTTAACATATGTGCCAGCATGTGCGCAAGTGACCGTGCAGCGCGTGGACGGGCACGTTAACATATGTGCCAGCATGTGCGCAAGTGACCGCGCAGCTCGGGGACGGGCACGTTAACATATGTGCCAGCATGTGCGCAAGTGACCGTGCATTGCGTGGACGAGCACGTCAAGTTATGTGCCAGCATGTGCGCAAGTGACCGTGCAGCGCGTGGACGGGCACATAGATGTCTAAAAAACTGGCGGAATATGCCACAAATAGCAGTACATTTGCAAACTCCTGCACGCAATACGCGGAAAAAAACGGTCCGAAACCTGCGTTTCGGGCTCATGGATGGAAAAAAAGACACGGGAGTTTTGCGCTCAAAAGCCTGAAGTGAACGCTGGCGTGGAAGGAAACACGTAAATTAAAAAAGCAGGGGTTTTGTGAGTCTGCATCAAGAGAAGGGGACAAGGACAACTAAAAAGTTGCCACAAGCAGGGTTTGGGCGGCCTTTTGGTCAGCCGGCTGGCAAAAACAACTTGATGTTTACGTTTAGTTGATAACAAAATGAGGACTCACTTTGACCTCCAAGGGCGACTCAAGAAAATCCAACCACTCCAACTTCTAGAATTCCAAAACAACCGAATCCAGGTTTCTGAGCACGTGCACGACTCTTAGGAATTTTCGGGGGCCAGAGAACCAAACTGGGCTGTCCACACTGATCCCCTGCCAAAAGTTTAACTTGTGGCTTATAGACATGAAAACCGTTTACTCGAGGAAAAAAAAACACGGCCTGGCTGGAGCTCCAGGACTGCGACTGCAGCTGCAAGAAGCTGACAGCGGCCGGAGCCTCTGGCTCGACCCTACCCCCCACTCGGATCTGCATGGCTGTGGCTGGCTTTGACCAATGTTACCATTTTGGAGTAGTTGCACCACCCATTTTAGAATCTATTTTAGTGGAGATTGGGATGTTTAGTGGGGGGTAACCGGGATTTTGACCCATGGCCACATCTTACAAGCTTGCATGGCTGTGGGTCAAAACCCTGCACCCCCAGTGAACATCAAAATAGGTGGCAAATGGATAAGCTCATCCACCCCAAAATGGAGCCATAGGTTATGCCCCATGGCCACACGGGTGCTCTCAAGCCATGCAAAGCGGTTTGTTGCAATCAAATCCTTTTGCGCCTCAGCGATTACCACTCCACACCAAGGTGAACAACGGGACCCCCAAACCAAGCCTCACAAACACACACCTAGTCCAAGGCCACACAATCATAAACACATGGCCTGTACAGGGGCTCCCTTCTGCCATGCTTGCAGACAAAATTGGCCCATGTCCCATCTCCATGACTTCTTTTATCACTTTGAAGGGGTTCCCGTGGTCGGAAGTAGCCCTGAAACTTGTTGGTCCGCAACCATGCCTTGAAATGCAGCACCATTCACCCTAGACACTGAAAAGGTTACTTTTCAAGCCACAGCTCTTCGACTCCACCAACTCAGGATTCAAAAATTGGCAATCTGCACCTCGTTTACAGGGTGGCTCGCACCCAAGCGGATTGCAGAGAGTTGGCCAAGGGGCAACCAGGGGAAATCAATCCGTCCTAAGAGGGAAGGCGCACAAGCCCACCGAAATAACTTCCCAATGCGGCCATGGGTCAAAAGTTCGCACCCCCAGTGAACATCCGATTCAATCCCCACTAAAATGGGTGGTGTACCGAAAACCCCAAAATGGGATCCCAAAACGGTTTTGACCCAGACCCATGCCGGAAGATCCAAAACCCTGATTTTTTTTCCTAGGCATTTTGGCGCGCAGCCCATGCCAACTGGACAGCTCTCGACTCGAGAGCTAAGGACCTGGCCGATGTGTTGGTCAGGATGTTGTATGCCTGGCTTCAGCCCCACCCGCCAGGATTCAATCATCTGGCCATGGGTCAAAAGCCCGGTTAGCCCCCAGTGAACATCCGATTCAATCCCCACTAAAATAGGCTCTAAAATGGGTGGTGCACCTACCCCAAAATTCAAACCATTCCCATTCCACACGTACAAATCCACATCTGAAAATGGTCTGCCCAAATCCATGTAAGGATATTGCTTAAGGCGTTTCTGCCTAACCTTCGCCCACGTGCGCCCAAGAAGTCGTAGGATCCGAACCGTGAACCCACCCGGTTCACCCGGTAGACAACGGGCACCAACTCTCTTGGGCTACTTCTCTACTTGGGTGTTCGGTCGAGTTAGTAAGTTGTTGGTAGGTCCTCACCTTAAAACGTCCCCAAGTGGAGACCGTGTTATCAGTGGGTTAACACCCAGGTGGCTAACCACTTACCTACTTGGCGAGTGAACACCAGGGAGCCGGAACAAGACCTCCAGTTGGTGCTGGCGGTAGTTAGGGAATGACCATGACCGACGTCGGGGTGTTGGGGATGAACCGGAGCCGGGGATTCCCGAACAAAGGAAACCAAATCGGGGATGGCATATTTGGGGGTCATTCCATTTCTCGTTCCCTGCTGAGATCCAGCAAGTTATTTAAGAGCAAAAAAGAGGAAAACGGACAGCCACCTTGCAAATCGGGCCCCAACAGGAACGACATTCACATGCGCCAACCACCCCGTTTTGGCTTGGTTCTTTCTTCTTCTGCCGCTGGAATCCACTCTGGGCTTCCCAATGCTCCCCATTTCAACCCGGTCGAAAGGCTCCTTTCCCGCTGGAATCCGCTCCGGGCATGGCTTTTCCCATGTTCAACTCCGTCCAAGACACAGAAGCCGGTTGTGCTTTTCTCCTGCCGCTGGAGTCCATGCACCCCACTCTGGGCAAGCCGTGTTTTTCTCCTGCTGGGAGTTCACCCCACGCGTTCGCGTTTTCCCATTTAGCTGTGGCTCAAAAAAGTGGTACCAAAATGGCACCTTGGTAAATGGAACCAAAGACTAAAACCTGCGTACCCGTAGCTCTTTAATTTTGAGCCATACCCATTTTCACATGCGGATCGATCCGTCGCATGGTGCCTCCTTCACCACGAAGGCCTCCTCGCTGCGGGACTTCTTCCGCAAGCTGAAGTCCTGAAGACGCGCACGGTTCACCGCCTCAAACACCCCATCCAGTGGATCTGAGCTTGGAATCAGTTGGTACCCGCTTTGCTTTTTGTTTTTTCCTTTCCGTTATCTATTTTAGTAGGGGAACCCTTCCCCAAAAAAGGGTGAGAAAGGGCACTACTGGGGATCTAGGGATGGCACCAAAAAAAGCTCCCAAACTTCTTTCTTGGGACTCCCCGAAAACTTTTGCCACCTACCCTACAGCTTCCTGAGAAACTCCAAACAAATCCAAACTTTGTATTTACCTCTGAAACAACGCCAACAAGTGACTAGATGGCCCCAAAAAAGTTCCTGGACTTTAGGGGGCCCAAGTGGATTGTTTTTCCTCTTGGTTTGCTTCGAACGCCACCAAAAAGGAGGCGTTACCCCAAACATGACACGCCCAGGCATCACTGAAATGGTCCAAACGCAAAAAGTGACGAAAGTCCAGGAAATCAGGAAGTGAGTTAGGCGTCCTGATGGTAAACAAATCGATGGGTTCCCTGGTAATTCCCCATAGCTGGGCTGTTCAAAATAGAGGGTGGGCCAATCAATAATCCATAATCCGAATCCCTGTTGAAAAACTACTGCAAAGGGGAGACCCAAGGCAAGGATTAAGGATTGAATTGTAACAGCCAAGCACAGGTGTCCTTGTTGAAAAATCGATGGATTTCCTGCAAGGACAGGCAAACCCTAGGCCAAGGGCACGTCTTCTGAGACAGACCCAACCAGGGTTCCATTTTTTGCACTTATACCCAGTTCTCCTTTTTGGGGAAGGTGAGAACCATGTCTGGGTTTCTGAGACAGACCCTGGCAGTCCAAAAGTGGAACCCTCCGACCAAAACGTGGGTCTTCGCCAAAACCAAAGCGCTCCGTCCTTGGTCTTGTCCTTAAGATCCACTTGGAGCTGCACGAGCTGCTGGTTTGTCACCGCCAAGCGCCTCCCGCCAAAAGATCGACTACTTGGTTGACGTTGGAAGGGGAGCAAAATGTAAATCTTAGCAGCTAAGTGGAGATTTCAACCACTAAACCACAATAAGCAAAATGTGAAAATGTGTCCCAACAACGAAACCATGCAGAGCTCTCGTGGACGTTGATCGGCGAAATCGGCGCTCACCCTCCTTTCCACGACTCTGCCGTTTTGGGATCCTTTATGTTCCTTTGAAAGGGAGTCTCTAAGGCTTCCATGGATAGGAATGTGGGTGTGGCTCAAATTAAACAGGAGGGGTTACGCAGGTTTTGGTCCATGTTTCCACTTGCCAGGGATCCATTTTGGTACCGGTTTTTTGAGCCACAGCCATGTATTCCAGTCTTGCACGGAGTTTTCAGATCCATCCGAACTGATACAAGATCTACCCTGCGCCTCAAAAAAGGCAACTGCTTCTTGGCCCTGCGCAAAAAGCTGGATTTCACCTCCCCTCTAACAGGTGGTGTGGAGCTTGGGGGGTGGTTCCCCAGTTACCCTGTACACAAACGTCCTCGGCCCAGCATATCCCAGCTGGGCCGGGTGATGGGTGGCCTCCCCTGCTTTGTTTGAAAGAACAAGGACTTTGAGCATTTGGTTGATGCACTGAACCCTGCCAAACATGATATTCAACCTGGTATGATTTAATGGATAACACTCAACAAAGTCATAATCAAAACCGATTGGTATTAAAATGGCCGGAACCCAGAACCATGCTGCAAGAATTCCGCACCCACTTATGGCTGGCATTGTCCCTGACTACCCTCCAACTACCCGCGGGTTTTGAGCAAGTGACTCATGTTGAAGCTCTGGAAAAGCACCTGCCATGGAGCTGGCCTGTCGCCTTCTCTAGCCCCAACAACTACACACGAGACGATGATGCGAGTTCTCAGATCAGCATTGACGCGAATGCGCCTCCTGGGCAAACGGAGAAAATATGATGATAGGTTCCCTTTAAAACCACATTCTGGTCGGGCCCTAATGATTATATAGCCCGAATCCCAAAGTTGTCAAACAGATCGACACCAACATTGGGCCACAAGGAATCTGGGCTTACCTTCGATCCCCCGCTAAACGTTTAACTTCTAGTAGTTTAGTGGAAACACTACCACTCCCGGGGGAAAAAAAACAGCTAAGGTGACATCCCCAACAGCATGCGGTGCTCTTTTTAGTGCTCGCACCACCCCGCAGCCCTCGCATGGAACCCTGGTGGAGCCCTGGTGGAACCTTACCTCAGGGCCGCCCCAGACCACCCCGGAGCCTATCTGGGCTGAGACCCCAAAGCTTTCAGCTGCTGGGGAGAAAAAAAAACACAAAAAAAGCATGGCTGAGAGCCACCAAGACAATGGGCCGCAAAAAAAAGCCGCGCTGGCCTCTTAGTGGACAGCAGGTCGCTCTTGGCTTTGCCCGCGGCCTGGCTCACATTGGCCACACAACTGCGGGACCGCTTGGATGGCTTATTCACATGGGCCACTCGTCTTCTATTTGGGGGGACCCCTTCTGAAGAAACCAACAAGAATGGGGTTGCCCTCAAAAAAAGACACACGCAAATGGATACCAAAAGCAAACATTTAACAGTCTGTATTGTTGGACACACCTAAATTGCAATCTTCGCGAGCTCGATCCCAAATTGGGTTGCCACAAATGTTCAGCAGATTCACGCGTAAGCCATGCGGAGAGACCATGCTCGAGCCCTTTTTCTCGGGCGGCTTCCCCTGACCATTGGGAAATGCGTTCTACACACCGAAGTGAAGTTCCGATGGTTCTTGACATCCTGAACCCTTTTCGAAATGGAAATCTGATGCCTCTGGTTTAGAGACCTCTTTCTGGTTCGAACCAAAGGCACCACGTAAGTAACTTGTTTGGCAAAACCAAACGCAGCTTTCTAAATCGTAGCTGTTCCTTGTCTATGACAACCTACGGCTCGTATGCAAGGCTAAAGTGCTGCCCGGGGGCACCTGACATTTGTCTTGACCATCCCGGCGGGCAAAATGTGTTTCAACATTCAACCTGAGTGCCCGCAAAAGAGAAGGCAACAGGTGGTTAGTTGAACAAATGTGGTGTAAACAGGTTTTGTGGGTCTGCCTCTTTTGCGGCACCCTTTTTGGGTTGGTGAGGGAACACCATAGGAAAAAAACAAACCTGCCATTTTGGGGGTCCCCTACAAAAAGACACACCCATATCCACCTCACAAAGAGGCCAATAAATCTGGTTTCAACACCTTCAAGCCCAAACAAGAGGGATATTTACAAACAGGTTGACGTGAACATATATAACAAAGAATGAGTGGAGAGCTTAGACTAAGTTGGTCGCAACTTTTTTTTCAAGAAAAATGTTTTTGTCTGTTTGAGTAGGTTGGATTCTTTTCCCACCCAAAAAGCTTGGGTGAGAGGTCGGGCACCTAGCTGGACCCCAGACCCAGAAATGATCGGCCCGCGGATGAACCCCGCCTCCTCTGAGGAGGAGATGGCGGACTTCAGCTCGTTCAACGCGGCTTGCCGCGCGGTGACCTCCTGCGAAGCACCGCCCCTGCCCCCGCCCCCCAAACCCCGCCTGCCCGTGTCGCTTGTTAGCTTGAAGGCAGGAGGCAAGTAACAAAGAAGAAGCAAGAGAGCAGAAATCAATAGAAAGAGGAGAGAGAAGTCTAGCACCAAAACAACAGAAGGAAGCTGGACCTGAGTAGTGGGCAGCAGCGTTTCTCTTGAAACTCAGACTGACTGAGCACCCTAGAAGGAGCATGGCTGCTTTTCCCTACATATTGCAAGTAGACCATGCAAAGGAACAAAGGGTATCCCTTGTTCCCTACTTGCAACACATGAGGGGAAATAACCTGAACATAGTCGGAAACCACTGCAACGGGGGCCAAATCCGTTGGTAAGGGCTGAGGATTGGTCTTTTTGAACAGTCCAAGCTGGAAAAGAGAGACAAGTACAGTGGGATCCATTCCATTCCCCGTCTGTCGGTGAGTCAAGGTGATAAAACCCAATTGGAGTTTGTAATCCCACGTTCTACTTTCACTTCACCGAAAACGTGGCCCGGGAACAAGTTGCTGACAAGACCCTGAAAAAAGGGAAGATCATATGTCCAGCAGTGATAGATTCCCTTTAACACCCACAGGGGAACATACCAACATATTCTTAAGCAATTGGCGGATGGAAGAATATCAGAAAATTCTCAGCATGAGGAGTGGCCCAAACGCCTCACGGCACGTGAAAAGGACGCGGGCCAAACCAGTTGAGAGTCCAAACCAGGGGGGTCTTTTTGCCACCTTTTGCGAGAAAGAATGGGCGACCCCCTCAAAAAGGAATCCTTCACTACAAGGGGGTCGATCAAAAATTTGTCCACCTGTCAGGCGGCAAAAAGAAAAGACCCTGGTCCAAACAAGTCGAGCCCAAGAAACGAGTCGCCTGACCGCAACGGCTTCGAGTCCACGAGTCTTCCAAGCCATGCCGAGGGGGACTCCGGACTCCTCCTCCAGTGACTTGGTCAGCGCGGCAAAGGCTTTGGCAGACCTTCGAGGCGAACCGCGTTTCGGGCAGCCGATCTTTTCCGTCGCCTCGAACCTATCCTAGCTCCTCCAGATTTGAGAGGTTGGAATAACTTGGTACCAACTTCTTTTTGTAGTCCATTTTAGTAGGGGAACCCTCCCAACCAAAAAGGGGTGAGAGAGGGCACTACTGGGGGACCTAGCATCCACAGGAGAACAAAAAAGGTCCTGGGCGCTCTAAAAGAAACCCGTGGATGGCTCAACGACAAACGGCACTCCAAAGAACATGAAATGCCCTGGCTTGCTCTACCTGCGAAAGCTAGGTTCGGTACAGTGCCATTCTCTCAATATTGCCAGGCGAATGTGGGCGAACCGAGTGCGGCACTTCTGCTCTGCCAGTTGCGTGGCCGTCAGCTCTTTCTCAGTCTGCGCCTTTACCTGGCACCAAAGGCCGCAGGGTAAATCTATTTGGGGTCAAAACTGAAAGTATCCGCATATACATACTATACATATGTAATATATATATATATAATACCTATATATATAATATCTATAATGTCTGTAATACCTATGTATGTATGTATGTATGTATGTATGTATGTATGTATGTATGTATGTATATATATATATATATACATATATATACATATGAAAATATTTGTGGGCGCGTGCGTGCGTGCAGGCAGGCAGACGAGGTGTTGGGTGTGTCTGTCTGTGTGTGTGTGTGTGTGTGTGTGCGTGTTTCTGAGGGTACTCTTTTCACTTGGTTTTTGGATCCTCCTATTTTCGCACATCCTAAATTGGGGGTCTGGGAAAAGCGTGTATCCATCCCTTTTGGGCTTGGTTTCAGGAACTGAGCATGGGCTATGTGGAACCCAGTGGAAGCATTGAACCATGGAAGCAAACCAGTCCAATATGGTGCGCCAGTTGCATTCAGTGGAACTTCACCTCGCCCTTCTGATGACCGCTTATGAAAGGAATCTAGCTTGCCACGTATCTCCTGCCTGGAATGCTTTGTCTGCTCCCTGCTCAAATCGAGTACCAAGAACAAAAATGAGCACTTTTGGGCAAATGCTTGCAGCATTCGTTGGTCGGCTGCATATTGGTAATGTTCGTATCCAAGAAGATACCCGACTGCAGCCCCTACATCGCATGTTATTGTCATTATTATGTTTGTCCACTATTGGTAGCACTGTTTGGACGCGGGGTTCCAGATTCAGGAGGAGCGCGCGCAAAACGCAAGAGCCAACCGAGCAAAACACGAGGAGTTGCACTACTCCCCACAGATCCGTCATAGGCCACGCATGTTCTTCCATCTGCGAATTTGCCTGGTCGATGGGTGTGTCTTTCTTGTCGGGATTCCTGTTTGCTTGGCTTCTGAAAAAGGAAACCGAAAGGACACACACCATTTTGGGGGAGTCCTCCAAAAATATGACAGACCCAAATGGCAAACGCCTCTACATCCGAATAGTTCCAAAGCGGAAAAGGAATGAATATGATCCAGAGCCGAGTGATGTTCGGTTCACACGGAGGTTCCCCGCTTAAACAGAAGTGGGAATCACAACCCTCTGCTTCTCTTCATCACAACCAACAGAAATAACGAGGGCCCAAGAAGCATCGCGAACCGACTCTAAATCCACATTTACCAGATCAAATGCTGGTGCAAATGTAAATATATGCGTACACATATGACTATATGAAAATATAATAATGAATGTAATGCAAATGATAATGGTAACAACAATAATACATCTGACAATAACACTACTGAACATAATAATATTGATAATAGTAACAATAATGAAACATAATCAATAATCATAATAATTATACTAATGATAACACTAATACTAATAACAATAGTAAAAAAACAACATACTACACAATGACAATGATAATATTTTTAACAATAACAATATTTACAGTAATAATCACAATACTGACACCACTAGCAATAAACATAGTAATAGCAATGGTAAAACAACTAGTCATAACAATAATCAATGAACTCCACATATATGTATCTATATATAAATACATATTAGATTATGTACATGTATGAACTTAGCTACAGGGATGGAAGCTTATCACGCCCACGAAGGAAGACACCGTCGCCTCCTTCAGAGTCGCGGTCAAATCCCCAGCGCCATCAGGCTCATCCAGGTCAGCCTCGAGGAGCGAGCGACGGAGCGGTCGCTACCTTTCTTTGGGATTTGGGACGGGGATTGGCGTCTCCGGAACCTGTAACATGGCCATGGGTCAAAAGCCCGGTTAGCCCCCAGTGAACATCCCAATTCCCACTAAAAGAGACTAACATGGGTGGTGCACCTATCTCAACATGGTACCATTGGTTTTGAACCATGGCCACATGGGTGGTTGCCTCAGAGTTTATCCAAAAAAGGTAGCCTCCAAAACCAGTAAATGGGGATCCAAGATCCCAGCGAGTAACTAACCAGCTTTTTGGCTTTCACGTTTTAAAGAGTGGTTCGCTTGGTGTTCGGAGATGGTTTAGGGGAAGCCAAAGAACTAATCTGGGCTGTCCGTTTTCTCATCCCCTGCTAAAAGTGAGAAACTTTGAGTGGGTTGAATGGAAACTACCACTAAACCAACTAAACACATAAAAAGATTACGGGATGGAGCTACCAAGTAATGAGAAAGGTAGAGGGAGCCATGTAACTGAAAAGCTCCCTTTTCTGAACCAAGCCTGACAAGGGCTTGGCTCCACGTTGAAAGTTGAAACCAGGGACCTAAGTCTCACTTCCGTGGATGGGCCACCAATTGTCCAAAGCTTTTTATTTCTAGGTCCTCCACTAGAGAGGTTAGAACAAGGGTCCCCTTCTTTTTCCGTAGCCTACTCTAGTAGGTTAGACCCCTCCCAACCAAAAAAGGATGGTAAGAAAGGGCACCTAGCTGGGGGACCGAGATCTTCTCCCAACCCGAGCTTCGCAAAAGTTATCAAGCCCAGGCACGGAACGAAAACTGAGCCAAGGGAGCAGCCCAACCGTCTTTTTCCGGGCCAAGGAAAGCGAGAAACGGAACCCAAAAAACACACGGGCCGCAAAAAAAAAACCCGCACCCACGATGTGTCGTTGAACCGATTTGTGGCTCTCCATGTTCGGTTGGGAATTTCGCTCCCTTTTCTAAAGTTCTCGATACGTTTTTCACCGCTGAGCTGATGGGCGAATTGCGCCCCCCAGAAAATGGGTGAAGAAGTGGACATGGATTCTTGCGTGAATAGACGCTAGAAAAATACATGGTTAGAATTGTGTCCAGCCATTTTGGAGGGTGTTCAACCAAGATTCTGAGACATTAGTATCTTTGCTTCCTAAGTGGATTGGCCAGAAAAGCGTCAAACCTTTTGCGTACCACTATAAGTGGTCTTCCCCAAAAGTGTAAAGTCCATAAACTCGGGGCGTGAGTTTACCATGGAAGTGGACATGGGGCTTCCCTCAAACCGTCAGCTTTGATGATTGTGCGGTAACGACTCTCCGGTTCCGTGCCCTCGTACAAGGAAAGCCTTCTTGGGTGTCTTTTGAGTCGGTACCCTCTTTTTAACGGTTTACAAAGGCGAACCAAAAGGAACACAGAGGCCCATTTTGCGGGTCCCCTAAAAACAAAGGCACACCCTTTTCGGGGTTGACCCACTTTAGTGGGGGGACCCAACTAGGTCCTCCAGATTTGATAGGTTAGAATAAGTTGGTACCACCGATTCTTAAGCTGTAGTCTATTTTAGTGCGGAGCGGAGCGGCCAGGGTTCGTGTTGTGTTTTGTGCATCCCAGCGGCAAAGTCGGAAGCGCCCGCCGCTTCGCCTGCCGCACGACAGGACAAAGCACCCTTGCCTTGGTATCAGGGTGGGGCCAAGCCAAAAAAATGGTGACCCCGGATTGATAAACCCCTGCTTTTTAGTATGGGGTCCCGGCGTCCCCGGTTTTAGTGGGGATTTATCACTTTTGGAGGGGCCCCCACCCCCATGTTCATAAACAGGTGTTTATTAATCTGGGGTCAAGTTAATCACTTCGTTGTTACACAACGTCTCTTAGGTTCGAAAAGGAAGGGAGCTACGGTCTTTTTTGCTGAAGAGCATGTTTTGCGCAATCCCAAGCCCAGTTTTTGAGTGACCCTGGCAAAAAACAAGGGGGCCGCCTTTAGGATTCATGTTTTTTGTTGGGTGGGGAAACCGTGGAAAAGGTTGACGCCACAAGGATTGACGGGCGTCGAAGCCGCCCGAAGCGGGAAAAAAACAACGGCCGCTGAGCGTGAGAAGTCAGTGCCTTCCGCTTTGTTGTCACTGCTGACCTGGCGCGCGGAGCGCGCGGAGCCGAACCGATCCGTCGCCCAAAACGTGAACCTTTTTGCTGGTAAGGGAGCAGCAGGGAAACCCAAGCGGCCCCAAGGATGTAGAATGGTTGGCTGAAATGGCTGGCAGAGTCTCTGGCAATGTTCACACCACTGTAGAAAAGAAGCCTTGTGCAGTTTCCTTCCTGCTAGTCTCTGTGCCCTGTTCTACTTGTGGGAGGTATCATTACGCTTGCGCGTGTGTGCTCTATCAAATCCAGATCGAGATTCAGCACACGGGTGCTTCTCAAAATGGTGAACCTCCACTTTTGGTTGGCATTGAAAGGAAACCACAGGAGGCCTTTGCCGTAGTGATCACTCTCTCTAAGATCTTTCCTCCCCAAACCACTCGCAGGGGGTAAATTGGTGCTTGTACCTTTTATGTAGCTGGGCTGTCCGATCCCAGAAAAAAAACTGAATAACTAACTTTGGTGAGTAACCTGGAAACCCGGCCACTAAACCAACTAAAAACCACCCCCAAAAACAAACACCTCATAAGGAATGGACACCCGACCTCCTCTCAACCAACCAACAAAGGAAAAGAAGCGAAGCTAAGGGACTCCTTCAGATAGCTCTCTTTCGTGGCACTATATCCTTGAAGCGGTCTACGGCCCAAACCACTGGCTTGATCTGACCAAAAAGTCGCGCTGTCGCTCTCTCTCGGAGCTTCCTTTGGGTTGGGATCTTCAGATATCTCTGAAGTTAGGCTTGCTTTTGGAACAGGAATCCTAGAAAGGAACCCGTGACTATGTCATGACACAGAGGATGTGTTGTTGGCCACAGTGCTATGCTGTGCTCGCCTGCACCGCGCTGTGTGCGGCTTGATTTGAACTTTCAAGTGAAATTGAGCAGCCACCCATTCACCAGCCCTTCTTGCTGCACGCGCAGACTCAAAACATGTTAATCTCTTACTTCCATTCCATACCTGAAATGAGCACACCCCACCCAGATGCCATACACAAGGCAAGTTTGTGCAGGTATGTACCCTGTATAGCCCCTTTACCCTTTCTGCTTCAGACATCGATTTATGGAAGCAAGAGACTTTCATTGACCCCGCAGTCTCCAGATCCATCCCGCAGTCTCCAAACAGACACCCCCATCGCACCCGAAAAGATTTGGTTGCAACTAACCACACATGCCTCGATTGTCGAACCTGAGGTTTTGTCCTTAACAACTTGCCTTTGACCTTTCCGTTGGAGAGGGGGCTGGGAAAGGAACATGTTAGTTCCAACTGTTTTGCAGCTAGCAACCCAAGCGCCTTTCTTGCCACTTTGAGCCTCAAAGAGTATCTTGCCTTGCACCTGAAGAGACTCGCATGCGGCGGATGACAAATTTGGGTATAGGTCCGCTTGGCGAACGCGAGGGGGTTGCTTGGGGGACCTGTAGACCGTGAGCTCGGCTCAAGGCGAGCCTGCAGGAATCCCACCGCCCGCGACCTGCCCTGCGAGTCGAGGGGCGGGCCGAGAGGCGGGGAGCGAAGCGCTTGACGGGGCGATAGCCCAGTGGATCCCAGGTACCACTGAAGTAGGGAACCAGCTCTCGTTGGCGAAATCTGCGAAGCCCTGCTAAAAGTGAACAACTTTTAGTGGTTTAACGGAAACCCATTAGTTGGCAAACAGTTAAAGTCCTAACATCCAAGCAAAATGTACCAAAGTATTCTGCTATTGGATTTTAAAGGGTGGTTCCCTTGGTTACCTACTATACAGGGAAATGGATCCACTGGGTAGGAGATCCCCAAAAAATACTTACAACCCTCATTTTCCCCCCCCCCCCCCACAGCAACTGTTCACAATACAATACCTACAACCAGAGTCTCAAAGATTCTGGGTACCATACCAAGCACCACACTTTGCTCTAGAGTCACCCGTACGGCGAACTGTCCAAGCCATATTCGGCTCCCAAGACTGGCTGTTCGGCGAAGATCCCTGCAACTTGGGACTTGGAACACGTGGAACCTTGGAACCTGGACCTTGGAACCAGGTAAACCAGGGAAACCCATCTATTGTTCAAGCAAAACAACCAAAAAGGACACCTGTGCACACGTATGCGTGGCAGGTCAAGGCGGGCAGAGCAACAGTTCAAGCCACGTCTGTCCGTGTACCCTCCCACCAACTACCATGGAAGTGCAAGGCCCTTTCCAAGAGGAAAGTAGTCTTTCTACCGGGGTCTGTGCACTTTGTTAGCTGGTGGGAGGCTACCACTCTTCTTCGATCTCCACGTGCTAACAAGAACTCAAGGGGTGGCCGCAACGCCTGGAAAACTCATCTCGGTATTCAGCCTCTCGGCTTTTGACATTGTTCAGACTCTACAAATCCGTGGGTCAAAAATCGGTACCCAAAATGGAACCCTGGCAGAAAGGACACATGGACTAAAACCTGCGGTCCCCTGGTGGCTTAATTTGACCCATACCCAAATCTTTGATGCAAGGCGAGGCCATTTCCATCCATGGCTTCCAAGTGTTCCATGCCATTACCGTGCACAAGCCACCCTTCCTTCCACAAGAAGGCAGCTGTGGGGAGGTACTTGGAAGATCAACTTCCTCTTGAACAGCCATTTGGCTGTGGGTCAAAACCAATGGGATCCCATTTTGGGGTAGGTGAATTCACCGCCCATTTTGGAACCTATTTTAGTGGTTGGATTGGGATGTTCACCGTCATGCGTCGTCTTAGTTAGAATCCAAGCTAGCCTCATCATTCCACCTCTGATTCCTACTATGACAGGGGACGATTTCCCAAAAGGAGATGCTCTGAAAACGATGTGGCCATGGGTCAAAACCCCGTACCCCCAGTGAACATCCCAATCCCCACTAGAATAGACTAAAATGGGTGGTGCACCTATCCCAACATGGTACCATTGGTTTTGAACCATGGCCATGTGCGGTGTGCGGATGGGGAAATGTCAATATGCGGCGGGACTAAGGTCCAGTGGACATGCACCAGAATGTGCTGCTATATCCAGTAGTGATAGATTCCCTCCAAAAAACAACAATAGAAAATCAATCATGTTCTGAAGACGACGGAAGTGGGTTAGAAAAGCCCCCCCCCCCCTCATCGAACATGAGCCGTGAGGACACAAAAGCGCGCGCACCTGGGAGCGCGTCCTGAGGCACAGCCGGTTTTTGCTTCCCGCGAGGGAATTTATTGCATCGGACCGGTCCAAAGAACCTGTAAACAGGGGTACCCCGAAAATGGCTTCGGTGCTCCTTTTTTTCTTCTTCTGTATATAAACCACCCGGCGAAATGGTACCCTCAAGAAAGAACACTCCGAATAACTACAATGGAGGCGGGGCATGGTTATATCATATCAGGGATAACCTTTTGTGGAATACCCATGAATCCTTTGTCATTCCCTTGGTATGGTGGAAATCGGTCCAAACACCAGGTTGTCTATAACACTCATAAGTTGTGGGGGATGTTAAAACCAGATTTAGTCATGAGCAGGAGCACAAGAGAATTACGTGTGGGTGTGGATTCATTCAGCCCCAGAAAATTATCAAGGCAGTGAAGTGACTCCCTGGCAAGGATAACATTTGGGCGCGTCTAGTTTGCTTCTTTTGGTTGTTTGATAGGAACACCAAAGGAAAAAACATGTTGGAGGTTCATCTATTTTGACACAAGCCCACCAGGATCAAAGCCACGCAAGCGATCTTTTGCTTTGTACTTCAGCCGAAACTCCGGACTGTTGAGGGCACAGTCTTGTTCCTATCTTCTGGCGGGACTTGCATCTTGGTTCCGTTGAAAAGGCTTCAAGTCACTTTTTCTTCATGTTCCAGGACACTTACAGTGGCCATGGAAAACACAAACAAGGAACAAGGAAGTAACCCACTGGTTTGGTTGACGTTGGAAGGGGGAGCAAAGAATTTGAATTTTAGCAGTCAACTGGAGATTTCCCACTAAACCACAATAAGCCGCCGCAATAAGCAAACATGTAAATTGTTTCGCAACATTGTAAGGATGCTGGGTGTCCAAGGATGACCATGCCGAGTTGGCCATGTGTTGGTAGACTCACGGACTTCAGCCTGCGGACATCTTCTTGCGCGGGCTCACAGCCATCTTTCTGGGTGAATTATAATGTTTCACCAACCTGGAATAAGGTGCTTGGGGGGCTATTCCCCACATAAACCACCATTTGGGGTGAATTCGGTCATGTGAGGTTGTTATAATTCACCCAGATCTTTGCTTCTAGCGGAAAAAAAGCCGAGCTTTGCCACATTTGGCTGGGCACCCATGATCCATTTTTTGTTGTTCCCCGAGACGTCTTTACCCTCTTTGAAAAATGGGCCCTGTTCAGACTGTTCAGAGTGCCACTTTCCGTAGACCTGCTCCGTTTTTGGAAAGGTACCCCAGCTTCTTCTCCCGAAGTCCACCACGGACCCCCGCTCCCCAAGTCCTCGCAGAGTCCAAGAGTCGCGTGAGGAATCGCTGCCTGGACAAGCCCAAGCCTTCAAACAACACGCGGAGACGGAGACAGACGGAGGAGGAAGAAGAACACAACACAATACTCCCTAGGTCCTCCAGTAGAGAGGTTAGAATAAGGGTACCCTTTTTCTGGAGTCTATTTTAGTCCGGGAACCCTCCCCCCAAAAATGGTAAAAGGGCACTATTGGGGAACCTAGATACGGCTATGGAGAGTACTAACTCCTTGAGCAAAGCGGAACAACACAGCAATGAGACAAGTTCGTTTTAGGCTAACACATACTGATTATGATTCGCAACGACTAAGACAAGCAACAAGACGGGCAAGAAGACTCCGAACAAAGCAACAACAACTTGCAAGGGAAGACGATCAAACGAAAAACCCAAGCAAACAAGCAAGTTCATAGTTGAGAGCTGGCACTTGCGGGATTTCGCCAATGTTTGATACGCGAACATCACTTGCTTTTTTTTACTGCAGTCTGGTGTCACTTGCTGGCATGTGCCATGCTTTTCGTCAGATGCCCTGCAACCGTGGGGAAAATGGGCATCCGTTTTTGGGGGTTGACTTTAAAGGGGAACCCGTGCCAGAAAAGGTTGAGCAACTTCCATTTGCTTAAGCCCCCTGGAAGATAGATTCCCTTTTAAAACTAACAAGGGGACAATTGAAAAACATATTTGTTTCAGCAAATGGAAGACACTAAATGGCCCTGGTATAAGCAATAAAACCAACCTGAACCAGGGCCTTCTATTTTTGAGCACACTAACCTAAAAAGGACACCTATGGTTGAAAAAAGGGCACCACTAGGGCATCCTTTTTTGGCTTGGTTTAGGGTTTAGAGGGGACCCCGTCCCAAAACAAGGTGGAGAAAACGGGTTGCGGAATCCACGCCTCCGCGTTTCGACCCAAAAAAGCCGAGCCGATTGGGCGCCGGGACTGGCTGGACGTCAGGAGCTGGTCCGCACCGGCGTTGAGCGCTTGCCTGCGAGCTGCAGCTCGACTATCAAACCCATGGGCCGGGAATTGGTTTTTGGACGAGGGCCTCCAGCAAACAGGTTAGAATAAGGGTACCCGTTTTTCTTTGTTTGCCTCCGGATTTTTGTTGTTCTTCTTTCTTTTTCTCTCTTCTGTAGTCTATTTTAGTAGGGGAACACCGAAAAATGGAGAATGGGTGCCCAGCCAAACGGGTGTGAAACCGGAGGGGCAAACCGCGGGTTTTGGTCCATGTTTCCACAGGGCAACCCATTTTGGTACCGGTTTTTTGAGCCACAGCCAAATAGGCCTGTCAACTTTTGGGAGTTGGTGCCTTCAGCTGCCCAGTGGATTTCCATGGGAAAAAAGGGGAATCCTTTTTTGTTGTTGCTTGAGTTTAAAGGGGAACCCTTACCCAAGCAAGGAAAAGAGGGCACCACTGGGCAACAGAGTACCTGTCCTTTTGCTGGCTGAAGGGAAACCAAGAGGACAACCCACCATTTTTGTGGGTACGCCTAGGTTTCAAGAGAAACCAAGAGGACAACCACAACTTTTTGGGGTCTCTTAGCAAAAGACAGCTCAAATGTGGCTTTCCTTTGATCTCCCCCATTTTTGTCTTCGACTTTGCGCCCAACCGACCGCAAAGTGGGTCCCAATTCCATTTGCGAAACCCATCAAGCACGAACCAGTGGATCAGTCCATCACTTGGAGCAGACCCCAGTTTCCATGGGCTGGAATGGCAAAAATCCGGAGTTGGAGCAGGAGCCGGAGTTGCCCATCACTTTTTGGCTCATACGACATTTCCTCGGTTGCGAATTCTGCGAAGCCCTGCTAAAAGTGAACAACTTTTAGTGGTTTAATGGAACACCCATTATTTAACAACAAATGAAAATCCCAACATCCCTTAGCAAGATGCAACACTTTCCATGCATAAGTGTCTTTTAGGGGAAACAGATGGCCCTGGTGGAGGTTTAAACCACCAGGTAAACCAGGAATCACCATCAATTTTTCTAGAGCAAAACCTCCAAAAGGGACGGACACCTATGGTTCCATGGGCTCATACCCACGCCGGTGAACCCCCTTGCCTGATCTTCTTGGTCGCCTGCAGGAGTCCAACTTCTCGTGGAGGGGACGGCCGCTCACTTTCCGTCTGCACCAGCGAGCCTGGCGAAGTCCAAGATTGAGCTACCTGGATTTTCCCTAGGTCCTCCAGTAGAGAGGTTAGAATAAGTTGGTACCCTTTTTTTCCGGTGTTTATTTTTCTCTGTGGTCTATTTTAGTTGGTTGGAACCCTCCCCCAAATGGTTGGAACCCTCCCCCAAAAAAGGGGAGAGAAGGGCACTACTGGGGGACCTAGTCCCGAAATGCTCGCTTGTCCCTTAGGGGCCTAGGCGGGCCTAGGAATACAAGACTTCACCAATGGGCCAACATTGAACAACCAGAATCGATTCGCTTTGGCAACTGAGCATGTGCAGAGGAATGGACCCTCCCAAACGGACAATCTTGGACCATGGCAAACGGAAGGCCCGTTCCGAAAAGAACTTGCTCAGTCGAATCCTAAAAGGGCCTCCATTTGTGCTTAACCTATAAACAACGCCCCCCTCGGGAAACTTGCTTCAAAATGGGTTCCCAAAAAGGTGCTTAACAGAGTAATTGTTGGGCACAGGCGGCCCCTTTTGTGAGGCCTCTTAACAGAGCTCCCTGGGCATCTCCCCTTTGCGCATCACCCCACCGCAACGACCCACACACACACACACTTTAAATTGGCCCAAAGGGTGATCTCTCAAACCACCCAGAGGCGGAACATCGCTTTCGAGGGGAAAACCGATCCTCCCGCGCTGCGTATCTTAAGTTGGACAGTTGGACCCAAGTCCCTGATGATGATTAAAACAACAACAAAAACAAATCCAAGAAACGGCCGCGAGATCCGTACCTTCAAGTGGCCGTGGCCAAAGGGAAAACCACCGATTTGTTCGGGACGTCCAAATGCAAAACTAACAGAAACCAGGCAGCTATTTGGGGTTCCAACTCCAAGAAAACAGAAACTAGAAGGGACACCAGCTATCTTGTGGGTCCCCAACTTTACGACGTGCCCATATCTTTGCCCGTGAACCTGCATGACAAGCGTGGTCTAAGCTGCATCTCATAGCAATTAATACGTCTGGTTCTCCTAACTCGGCTTGTTTCTTGCACATGAGCCCAATAAAAAATAAACAAAGAAAAAGCAACAAACAAAACAGCTAACAACATAGCAGCCTTTCACAAACAAACCCTCGTGGGTGAACCGAATCATGGTGGTGTTCTGGGGAGGCTTCCCACCGATTCCCACCCTCTACCAGAAAAACCAGGGACCCTGTTTCTTTGACTCCGACCCGATTTTTGGACCCAGAAACCAACAGGTAACATGCAGGTCGAAAACAACCCGTGGTTTGTGCTGGGCCAATGAACGGGTCCCCAATCCAAGCCCTTTGCCCGAATCTTCCCAGCCCTCAGCCCCCGATAAAAGGTGGATTCCAAGGCGGGTGGTTTGGACGTTGGCTTTTTTTTTGCTTTTTGTTTCGAAAGGAATCCATTTGGTTTACATCCCAAACCAATCCAGGCCACCACTTAAAGGGAAACCAAGAATCCCCTCTCCCCCCCAAAACCACAGGGCTCCACCGCTTCAGGGGAAACAAACACAAAAGAGTGGTACACTCTAGACATGTGTTCACTCCTAAGGAGTGGTACACAAAGCTCACTAGACCTTGAAAGAATCCCTTCCGGCCCCAGCCCAGCCCAGCCCAGCAGGTCCGGTGCCTGTGAAGAGGCCTTGGGAACTGAACCGCCCTCTGGGTGTTCTCTGTCCAAGCAGCTGAAAAGCCCTGCTGAACTGGCAGACCGTACCGGGGCCGAGGTTTAGCTTATAGCGCAAAAAAAGCTTGTCCATCCAATAGATCTAGCCGGGAATTCTGCCTAGTTAGTCAGAAGACTGTGCCCAGAAAGCGGCCTTTTTTGGAAGATCCGCGGAAATGGTTTTCAATCCAGCCTATGAACCGAAGTCTCACCAAACGGGTGCCAATCCAGGGTGGCTTCCCTTTCTAGGTCCCCCAGTTTTGGAGGTTAGAAGAAGTTGGTACCCGATTTTCTTCTGTGGGGTTCTCCTCCCCCCAAAAAGTTGGCGAGAAAAGGCACCTAGCTGGGGGACCCAGCTTTCATTTCCCTTCAGCAAAAACTTGAAACATGTATGGCTGCTTTTGATTGATTTCCTGCGTCCTGGGTTCAACCTACGGGCCAAAGGCCTTTCTCGCGCAACTTGGGGTCTCCAAGAAGCCCCATGGCTGGTTCACCGAAATCATTTCCCTTCAGCCCTCAAACAAGCTGGAGTTTAACGCAAACACAACGCTCTTCAGGGCTACTTGGCCATGGGTCCAAATCCAAATCATAAACATCCCAATCCCCACTAAAACAGACTAAACTGGGTGCACCTACCCCAAAATGGTACCATTGGTTTTGACCCACAGCCATTTGGCACCCCAAGGTGTCGAATCGAGAAGCACGGACAGTGACCCACGAGACCCGCGCTCTTCACAGTGGTGAGGGCCAGATTGAGGTTGTCAGTACTCTCCTGCCTGAGTATCATCTTTTTTCCAAAATGGCGGAGCTCCAAGAAATGCGGCACATCAACACAAATGGCTGTGGCTCAAAAAACCGGTACCAAAATGGAACCCTGCTAAGTGGAAACATGAACCGAAACCCGCGTAACCCCTCCTGTCTAATCTTGAGCCACACCCAAATAGGATCAGAGTCTAGTCCATGTTTAGTGCTACCCTAAAACGTAGAATCATTTTGGAGGAGACCGCCAAAAGGAGGACGAAGCCATGTCGAGGGTTCACGCTTTTGGGGTACGCTGCTAATGGATGATGTGGTGTTAAATCAGGGGCCACGCAGCCGCATGCTCCAATGGCAAGGTAGATGCTTTGGGCGGTGTGATTCGGTCAACCAATCAGAGGCCAACAGCAAGTTCCCACTGGCAAAGCCAAGCAACCCGTGAAAAAAAAGACTATCAAACTATCTGACTTGTGTGTCGAAGCGTCCCTAGTTGCTTGTTTGTTCCTTCACGGACAAATGCAGCATGCTTGCTTCCCAGTCTCAAATTCACATCGTGGCGGGTTTGATAGGACATGGCATGGGATCAACACAACTTCGCACGTGGCCCCCTGTCAAGCGCGGGGGTCCAAAAGAATGAGACATCTTGTAGGTCCCAGGTCGGATGAGGGACCCTTGCATAGATTGCCCGTTGTAGGTTGGTACCATTTTTGGGGGTGTGTTCAAAGAACGTGTTCTAGGACTTCCATATGCGGCACAAAAATAAGTGACCACTCTTTTGGTTGTTTGAAACCAAAAGGAAGCTCTGCACTAGTGTAAGCCCCAAATCCCATCTGAGCCCCGGACAAACATTGTTGGCAAACTTGTGCAGGCCACGCATCCGACTTTCACAACCAACGTTACACTACCAATCTACAATATTGTCAATCTTGACGATCATTCCAACACCTAAAATGGGCGTTATTTTTTCGGGGACCCCGCAAAAGGCTGGTTTCTCTTTAGTTTCCCTTCAAAACCACTACCTTCAAAAAACGACGCACCCTAATAAGAATTGGCTCCCCAAAAGCACCTATCGTTGAGCTTGTCCTAAAACTTGCAGATGACTGTATATCCATTCGGAGTGCTCATCTTGCTGGTGCTCAGTCCCTATACACCAACTCCTCTGCTTTCCTTCAAAGCCTAGTTCATTCTCAGCACCCGGGCTCGGTCATTTCCTAGCTATCGCACCAAGTAATGCCGCCGCGACGCAGCTTCTGAGAATTCTTGACAAATGTCTCCTGCGGGCTGAGGGGCGCGGGTGCCAGGAAATGAGAGCCCCTTTGGTTTTCCTTCCTGACAAACCCTGTGAATTGGCTTGACAATCGCTGCGGTTTGCTCTTGGTTCCATTTTGAAACAATCCTAAACTGGTAGCAAAGCTGCCAGAAGTGTGTACAAACATGTCGTCAGCTGGCCCTTCCTGGTGCATCCTAGCCATTCCCCCCGTATGTTTGAGGTGACCAAACTAAGCATAGCAAGGGCTAAGTGTCGCTGCTCAAATGAGGGCGTCTCAGAATGGTGGACAGTTTCTCGGTGGGTATTTCAGGGACAGCTATTTCAGGGGTTACCTTTCTGAGTATATACCACGGGCGGAAACCCATGAGTTCCTTAGGAAATCAAAAGCTCCTGGGTTTCAGTCCGGCTTTCCCTCTGGTCTCTGAGAACAGCAGCCCTCGGAAGCATACTCCTCCGCCTCCCCTGACAAACACCTTGCATGAAACCCTGTCCAGTTACACTCGCACGTGGGCCATTTTTAAACGGAACACTGCGCACATGGGGGTGGATCAAAAGGTCCTTCACATGGGACCACTGGAGAAAGCTGCACAAAAAGATGAGATGTACATGGTCCAAGTTACCCATGGTCATTTGGCGGAGGGTCAAAACCAATGGTACCATTTTGGGGTAGGTGCACCCAGTTTAGTCTATTTTAGATTGGATTGGGATTGAGAAAACCCACGTTGAACAGTTACTGTCTTCCTGGTCGTTTGGGGCCCGGAATTCCGATCAACCCCCCTGTTTTCGATCAACGCCCCCCCCACATTGGCTTAAGCCCGGGAGAAGAAACAAAACCATCTAGTAGTGATAGATTCCCTTTCAAACCACGGGGGGAAGAACAAACCATATGCAATTCAGCAAATGGATGTCCAATGTAGGTCGAACTTTTTATCAACTCCCACGTAAGCCAGGAGTTTTGGGTCTGGAAGGCCTGTTCTGGGTGGTGTTTTGAGGAAACCGAAGGCAAACAAACAAATGGCCCCAGTCCTGCAAAGGCACACCTGATAAACCGACAAAATGCAGGAACTTTGCTCCCCCAGTAGAGAGGTTAGAATAAGGCTACCCGATCTTTTTTTTGTAGTCTATTTTAGTAGGGGGTTCTCCTCCCAACCAAAAAAGAAACGGTTAAAAAGGGCCCCAATTGCTGGGGGACCTAGCTTTCATTTCCCTCAAAAACAAAAAGACCGTGTCGTGCTTTTGATTCCATCTTCGATTTCCTGGGTCCTGGGTTCAACAACATATGGCTGTGGCTCAAAAAACCGGAATTCCAAAATGGAACCCTGGCAAATGGAACCAAAGACTAAAACCCGCGGTTTGACCCCCCTGTTTAATTTTGAGCCACACCTATATGGTTTGATCAATCCCCCACTTCACCGCGCTCGGTCGCTCTGCTCCGCCGCGCTCTCCTTCTCCGAGCCCCGCTGCTGCTTCGCCAGCTGCAGCTCCTGACGCAAGGAGAAGCGGCCGTGCGTTCGTTGATCCAAATTGTCCCATGTAATTGCATCTGGTTTTTTTTTTGCGGTGTTTTCCAATGGTGATCCCGTAGAAAGGACCCCAGGTTTACGTGGGTTTGTGCTTGACACCACTAGTTTCCCTACAAAACCAACCCTCAAAGGAGTACACTGAGTACACCACAAAAAACAAACCCAGGTAGGTTCAGATATGGAAGGAACCCAACCCACGAAGCAATGCTCGAATGGAGCCCCTGCCAAGCCATTCGACAGCTGGGGTCTGGGCTCGGGGGCGCGCTTGCTTGCTTGCCTGCTGCCTGCTTGTGGGTGGATGGAAAGGTAGGCGGATAAGTTGGTGTTTGGGTGGCGGGGCTGTCAACTCACTCCTGACGGGAACCCAAATGTGGTGCGCACTGCGACGGCCACCGCCAAGACCCAGAAGAGCCAAACCACCAACTTAGCTTTGCTAACCGAGTCGAAACAATCACTAGGTCCTCCAGTTGAGAGGTTCGAATAAGGGTACGAATGTTTTCAGTAGTCTGTCTATTTTAGTAGGGGAAGCCTCCCAACCAAAAAAGAACGGTTAAGAAGGGCACCTAGCTGGGGGACCCAGCTCATGCCCTCAAACATGCCCTTCCAGAGCCCAATGAAGAAAAGAACAGGTCCTCCAACGGGTAGCATCACCTCTAGCTGGGCTATCCATCTATCCACCCATCGGCCTCTCAACTCTCTTCTATCTAGCTATCCTAGCCATATCCATCTTCTTCTTTCTCCAATTCTCTTTCTCTCTCTCTATCGAGATCTCTGTCTTTCTACTAATCAATGTCTCAACCTATCTGGCTATCACTATCTGTTGAGCGGATGGTAGCACCGATTTCCTGAGCTGCCCGTTTTTAGATCCCCCGCTAAAAGTGAGTTTAACTTTTAGTGGGTGAAATTCGGAAACTACCACTAACCACTAAAAGGCGAAAAAGCTAAGGAACCGGATGGCTGGGAGCCACCAAGTTTCTAGCACCTCGAGCTGGTATGGTAGGGCCGCAGATTCGTGGGTTCTCGCTTGGGTTTTCCTTTCAACCAACCCCACCAAGGGTACCCCGAAAACTGACACATGGGGTTGATCAATATTCCTGGCTCGCGTTTAGTGCGAAAGCAATCTTTTTGGGTGCCTTCCCTCATGGTCACCCCATGCACCTTTTGATCAAACCCCAATCCACATTTTTCTGGGGCTTCCCATCCTCCATTTGCTTAAGCCCTCTGGGAAAAAATGATTACATATAAAAAAAGAGTGATAGATCCCCTTTTAGATCCACTTTAACACCAACCACAGGAAAATAGAAAAACACATGGTCATTTCAGCCAATGGAAGAAAACAGATTCTTGCTGGTGTAATCCGCTCCAAGTCTTTCCTGAAGAACCCTTCGGAATGTTTTCGGGAAAAAGGGAAAACACCCGGACCCCCAGACGTGATTTCAAAACATGTGATTCCAGAAACAAACGCGCCGGAGCCATTGTGTTGAGGGCAAACCACTGTTGAGGCGGACTATTTTGGCGATCCCTCACATCCATTTGCTTAAGTCCCCTGGAAAAATGCGATAAGATTTCCAGTCGTGATAGATTCCATTTAAAACGAGGTAGAAATAGAACACATATTCATTTCAGCAACAGGGAAGGCCCCCTTTTAGTTACTCCAGTTCTGTTGGCTACCCCTGCCCAGTTCTCTAGTACCTTCCCCCATTCTGAACCCAGGGATCCTGCTTTCTAGAAAATCCGCGGAAACCCACAGAAAACGGATCCGGTTTTTTGGAAAGAACGATGGTTGAAAAGAATGGAAGGGGGAATCAACCCCTAGAACAATGCCAGCCCAAGGCTAGAGAAAACCCAGACGGGGTGGTTTCCCACGAGACCTCGGGACCGCTCCCGTCCTGCTGTGCCTCGAGTAGGCTGTCAGCTGCTGTCGCGAGTTGGCCCTTCTTCTCTGCCTGGCAGGGCTCGTGGGCACCACCCCGTACGGGCCCCCCTGGGGATCAAAAGAACCAAAACCCATGAAACTGAAAAACATGCCGCTCAGCCAGCCTTGAAATGACCACACGCCTCTTCAAGAATCAAATTGGGCAAGGGGGGGCGGGGGGCAAGTCATGTCGACCCCGGGTTCCAGCACACCTCACGGATCTGCATGGGGGGTTCTTCTCACTTTGAATTCGCAACACAGACGCTTGTCGCAAATGGTTGACCAGGTTGTTACAGTACGGACACTCACCGTTGTTGAGAGAAACTTCTGGGCACACGTCCATAACACACAAGCCAGCAAATCGAGGAAGCTCGAAGGTCTTTTAATTCATGCGCACAAGGCATGGAAGCTTCGACTCTCCATGTCTGAGTATGAACAAGTCAGCAGTAAGAAAGACCCAGCAACCGTCACTTGTGAGGATCGGTGAGTTCGTTTATGGACATGGTTTGCTCTTGGAGGCTTCCGGATTACCGTGCCTTTCGGGCGTTGTTCAACCAGAACCACCAGTGAGACTCCTCTATGGGTGCGTCTGAAAGTAGAAAAAGCCCTGCAAAATGGGTGGTTCTCTTTTGGTTTTCCTTTACCCCGAAAATGGTACCGCGCCTGCAAAAATCACGAGCCGCACCCATATCGATCCATTGGACAGCTGCAACCAAACCCTAGCACTCTTCGTTGAGAGAGCAAAAGCTCCCCCCCCCAAAAACAAAAACAAAAAAAGGACCCCCACCCCTCAAAAAAACAGAGGGATCTCCCCGAAACAATGATAATAATAAAACAAATAAATAAATACATAATGAAATAATTAATCAACTAAATAAATAAATAAACAACAAATAAATAATCAAATAATTAAATAATAAAAAAACAGAAATAAAGACATAACAATTAATAAACAATGATAAATAACCATAAAAAAGAATACATAATAATAAATAATAATAATAATAAATAACAATAATAATAAAGAACGCAACTTGGTTCCCCAATTTTTAGTGACCTCCCCCAGCTTGAGACAGTAGGGGTTTCACTTTTCTGGGCCGCAAAGCCTGGGAACTCATCCCCAAAACCATATCGCGCAGATGCGCGATATGGCACTCCCACAGGCCGCTCTCTCTGGGTTCCCTGATTTCCAAAATTTCAAATTTCACTTCAATTCATTTCATTTCACTTCACTTCATTTCACTTCACTTCATTTCATTTCACTTCACTTCATTTCACTTCATTTCACTTCCCTTCACTTCACTTCATTTCACTTCATTTCATTTCACTTCACTTCATTTCACTTCACTTCATTTCATTTCACTTCACTTCATTTCACTTCATTTCACTTCCCTTCACTTCACTTCATTTCACTTCACTTCATTTCATTTCACTTCATTTCATTTCACTTCACTTCATGTCACTTCACTTCATTTCATTTCACTTCATTTCATTTCACTTCACTTCATTTCACTTCATTTCACTTCCCTTCACTTCACTTCATTTCACTTCACTTCATTTCACTTCATTTCATTTCACTTCACTTCATTTCACTTCATTTCATTTCACTTCACTTCATTTCACTTCATTTCACTTCACTTCACTTCATTTCACTTCATTTCATTTCATTTCACTTCAATTCACTTCACTTCACTTCATTTCACTTCATTTCACTTCCCTTCACTTCATTTCATTTCACTTCATTTCACTTCACTTCATTTCACTTCACTTCACTTCATTTCACTTCATTTCATTTCACTTCACTTCATTTCACTTCATTTCATTTCACTTCATTTCACTTCACTTCACTTCACTTCATTGAATTTCACTTCACTTCACTTCTTTTCACTTCCCTTCACTTCACTTCATTTCACTTCACTTCACTTCCCTTCACTTCATGTCACTTCACTTCATTTCAGTTCATTTCACTTCCCTTCACTTCATTTCATTTCACTTCACTTCATTTGACTTCATTTCATTTCACTTCACTTCATTTCAATTCATTTCTTTTCACTTCACTTCAATTCACTTCATTTCATTTCACTTCACTTCATTTCACTTCATTTCATTTCATTCCACTTCACTTCACTTCACTTCATTTCACTTCACTTCACTTCATTCCACTTCACTTCACTTCATTTCACTTCATTTCATTTCACTTCACTTCATTTCACTTCACTTCACTTCATTTCACTTCACTTCATTTCACTTCATTTCACTTCCCTTCACTTCACTTCATTTCATTTCACTTCACTTCATTTCACTTCATTTCATTTCACTTCACTTCATTTCCCTTCACTTCATTTCATTTCACTTCATTTCATTTCACTTCATTTCACTTCATTTCATTTCACTTCACTTCACTTCATTTCACTTCATTTCATTTCACTTCACTTCATTTGATTTCACTTCATTTCATTTCATTCCACTTCACTTCACTTCACTTCATTTCACTTCACTTCACTTCACTTCATTCCACTTTACTTCACTTCATTTCACTTCCCTTCATTTCATTTCACTTCACTTCACTTCACTTCATTTCACTTCACTTCACTTCACTTCACTTCATTTCACTTCACTTCATTTCACTTCCCTTCACTTCATTTCACTTCACTTCATTTCATTTCACTTCATTTCATTTCACTTCACTTCATTTCACTTCACTTCATTTCATTTCACTTCACTTCATTTCACTTCACTTCATTTCATTTCACTTCATTTCACTTCACCTCATTTCATTTCATTTCACTTCACTTCAATTCAATTCACTTCATTTCACTTCACTTCACTTCATTCCACTTCACTTCACTTCATTTCACTTCATGTCATTTCACTTCACTTCACTTCATTTCACTTCACTTCACTTCACTTCATTTCACTTCACTTCACTTCATTTCACTTCACTTCATTTCACTTCACTTCACTTCATTTCACTTCATTTCATTTCATTTCACTTCAATTCACTTCACTTCACTTCATTTCACTTCATTTCACTTCCCTTCACTTCATTTCATTTCACTTCATTTCACTTCATTTCATTTCACTTCACTTCATTTCACTTCATTTCATTTCACTTCACTTCATTTGATTTCACTTCATTTCATTTCATTCCACTTCATTTCACTTCATTTCATTTCACTTCAATTCACTTCATTCCACTTCACTTCATTTCACTTCACTTCATTTCATTTCACTTCACTTCACTTCATTTCACTTCACTTCATTTCACTTCACTTCACTTCATTTCATTTCACTTCACTTCACTTCATTTCACTTCATTTCATTTCACTTCATTTCATTTCACTTCATTTCATTTCATTTCACTTCACTTCATTCCACTTCACTTCACTTCATTTCACTTCACTTAATTTCATTTCACTTCACTTCACTTCATTTCACTTCACTTCATTTCATGTCATTTCACTTCACTTCACTTGATTTCACTTCACTTCAGTTCACTTCACTTCATTTCACTTCATTTCACTTCACTTCACTTCACTTCACTTCATTGAATTTCACTTCACTTCACTTCTTTTCACTTCCCTTCACTTCACTTCATTTCACTTCACTTCACTTCCCTTCACTTCATGTCACTTCACTTCATTTCACTTCATTTCACTTCACTTCACTTCATTTCACTTCATTTCATTTCACTTCACTTCATTTGATTTCACTTGATTTCATTTCATTCCACTCCACTTCACTTCACTTCATTTCACTTCACTTCACTTCACTTCATTGCACTTCACTTCACTTCATTTCACTTCACTTCATTTCATTTCACTTCACTTCACTTCATTTCACTTCACTTCATTTCATGTCATTTCACTTCACTTCACTTGAATTCACTTCACTTCACTTCAGTTCACTTCACTTCATTTCACTTCATTTCACTTCACTTCACTTCATTTCACTTCACCTCATTTCATGTCACTTCACTTCATTTCACTTCACTTCATTTCATTTCACTTCACTTCATTTCACTTCACTTCACTTCATTTCACTTCACTTCACTTCATTTCACTTCACTTCATTTCATTTCACTTCACTTCATTTCACTTCACTTCATTTCACTTCACTTCATTTCATTTCACTTCACTTCATTTCACTTCACTTCATTTCATTTCTTTCTGGTTTTTGGAATCCCAAAACGCTTCATTCCATTTCTCATTCCCGATCGCATCTCTCGCACTCGCAAGTGTTGGAAGATCCTTTCGGGTCCAAATCCCAGAAAGGGAATGAGCAGGCAATGAAATTATAATGAGGGAATGGGAATTATCATTCAGGATTTAGAAGAATGGGAATCATAGGATAAACCATCCCTTGTGGTTTCGGAATGGGGGAACCCCTTTTTCAACCATCCAACTGGTGGTTTCCCATCGATCGCCAGAATCCCGCGGCCCGTCTCTCGATCGCACCGGTCGATCGATCGCGCGACCCAGCTTTGGGTATGTGTCAAAGCCGCACCATTTGGCTTTCCTTAAAACAAACCCTAAAAAGGGTACCCTCCAACAACACACCCGTATTTCAGCACTGGGTAAGCTAGTTACAAATCTTCTCAAGCAAATGGAAGAGTCCGTACTGACGTTCTTTCAAATTCGATTCCTTGGCTTCCCGTTAAGCCCACCCTCAAAAAACACATCTTCATTGGCCAATTCCTGGGGCAAATTCGATTCCTCGCGCTGGTTGAAACCCTGGCACCCATCCCTTGTTGACAAACTATGCAATCCATTTGACAAAAACAATTGGCAGGATATTGACGTTCTCTCAACTTCGATTCCTTGCGCACCATGTGGGTTCCCTTGAACAAACCGTAAAAAGGGTGCCCTCCAAAAACTCACACCCGTATTTCAGCTGTGGGTAAGCTAGTTACAAGACGCCTACCCAGCCTTTTCGCATGTTCTATGCTAGGAAGGCCCTATGAGTCCGTATTGCCGTCTCTCAGAGTTCGATTCCTCGCGCACCATGTGGCTACCCTTCAACAAACCCTAAAAGGGCACCCGCTTAAAGCCAGGAAGCCCTCAAGAAACACATCTTCATTCACCACCTAGAAAACCCTAGAAGGATGATTCCCCTGTAATACCAACAAACGTCATGGTTTCAACTATGGTGTCAAAGTGGTGCGAGCAGATTTTGCAACCATCCACAGTAGCAAGCCCCAAACCCAGGTCATGATCATGGACGAAATTGGGCTAGTATGCCTTCATTTGCTTAAGTCCCCAGGAAAAGAAAGTATTTCCAGTGATAGATTCTCTTTAAAACCAGGGGAAAACCTGGTTTCAGTAGATCCAGTAGATCCCCTGGTTACAGTAGTGATAGATTCCAGTAGATCCCTGGAAAAAATGTGTAAATAATTCCAGTAGTGATAGATTCCCTTCAAAACCAACAGGGGAAAAACCAACAGTAGATCGCCTTTTTCAACTTCGCTTCGCGCCTGGAAGGCCTTCGCGGTGTCCAGCACCGCCGTGAGCTCCGCCGCCCGCGAGGCGCTCTGAGCCGCCGCCGCCGAGGCCGTCGCGATGCTCCCCTCGAGGGAGAGCCACGGAGCCGACGAAGCCGAGCCGTCGGGCAAAGGGGAACTACTCTCACATGTATACATATATATATATATATATATGTATACGCATGTACGTGTATAAATATATATATATATATAGATATATATACAGGATATATACATATATATACACATGTAGAGATTTATCGCTGGTATCTCATAAGATATATGTGTGTACATATATATATATATATATATGTATATATGGTTTTGGCTGGTATTTCATGAAATGCAAGGACAAGCAACGCCAAGGCAAAAAGACAGCACCTGCCTTTGCATAAATAATGTATACCCACAGTTTGCGAGGGTTGCCGTCACCCCCGAATCCAGGACTTTGATTTGGGTTTAGGGTTTAGGTTTAGGTTCAGGGTACAGGTTTATATTTATAATTGTGCTAATATGTAAGAGCCCTTGAGGGTGGGAGGCAGCTGTTGCTGTCTCAGAGTCTTCTTCGAACCCTGGTGCGAATGACCTGAACGTTGCCAAGGACCGGAGTGCCCCAACCTATGCGCTTGGAAAGCCGCATAAGAAGCACCTGGGTTTGGGGCTTGCTACCCCCTATTGTCCTGCCTTGCCACAGGGGCTATGGGCTTGGTGCGTGTGTGTGGTCAATGTGTAAGCGTGCATGTGTTGTCGGCTGACCGCGTGAACTCGCTCCTGGGTGGCCGCTTTTGCATGTTTGATCCTTAGGGCCGCTTGAAAGTCACGTGGATTTGAAGATAGAGTCGTGCTAGCCGAATGGGGGCAACTTTGCTACAGACTTGTAATCTGTGAGTAGTTCCAGCGCTCCCTCACATATTCATGTTCGGTGTAGAGTCCACTCGCGCGGAACTCACCAGAATGTCCTTTTCCAACCATTTTCCCACGCATTTGGTGACTCTCATCAATCATACATCTTCTTCAGCGGGGCCTATCCCTGATCATGGCACAGCAACACTATCTAAAGTTTCTCGGACCTCGATAGATCCGTTACCATCAATGCATAGTTGAATGTGGGACGTCGGCAGGGGTTGCCCTCGAATGCTGCTACTTCATTTATGAGTTGCACACCCGTCCAATTAGACACACACACCCAAAACACGTGTGGCGTGTTTTTATCCCACTGAATGCTTGTGACGCCGGGTCCTTTGCTTGCCCGGCCTGGGTCATGTTCGTGAACTCCCCGAATTGCTTGGCATCCGCCTGACGTCCAAATTGTTTGTTTGGTCGAGTGTTCCGAAGTCAGGATCGAGCCGCCGCCAAGAAACAAACTATATTTTCCCCTAAATGAACATGCACCCCCCACGCCCCCGAAATCGGGTTCCATGCGATGCTTTGCAGGAGAGGTCCCCTGGCGGATCACGGCTGGTGGTCTGGAGCTAGACTTCCTACAACTTCAACGGTGAGTCCCAAGGCCTCTAGGCTTTCATTCAACCAATTCTTTTCAACCATCCTGGATCGCCAGTTGCGATCGTTTCTTTCCATCCACTTTGCCCCAAAAAACAGCAACGGTGACTGAAACAAAACGGCAACTTGGTTGTCTAGGATTGTTCTTTTCACAAAAGTCGTTGTTTTCTTCGTTTTCTAGGTTTTTGTGGTTTCCTGAAAAGAAGATTCCCTGGAAAGAATAACGCTTCCCGTAGAAAAACCACCCACCACGAGCAATCAAGAACAAGGACCAAATTAATGATCTGCCAGGCCTTGCGTGAGCGTCCTGCTGGTTTTCCAGGGGTTGTTTGCCGAAAGGGAGGCACCACTGGCTGAATCCTTTCGGAAAAGCGCGATGGGTCCCGATAAATCACGAGAACCAAAGTGAAACACCTGCCATCCTCACTTAAGTAGACTGGTCAGTTTTCAGTCTTCACTTCTTTTACCACTAAAATTGACTAAAGCGGTACCTCCCCCCCCCCAAAAAAAAAACTACATAAACAAACAAATAAATAAATAAACAAACTGTTAAGTACAAGCCACTGTGTGCAAATACATGCACATCTCTCTGCGTTGTTTGGTGCAAGGCCTTGAGCCTACAGCTATACAGGTTTACACATTCCGGCAGTTAGGAGATTACACAGTCAGTTCTACTTTAACATGGTAGCGGAGCAGTGATCCCTGGTCTCGACCGCTACCCAGGGTGAGCTCCAACACGCAGGTTCAGGTACAGTACACAGTAGTGAGCAACATGGCGGCACAACAACAACAACAGCAACAGGAGCAGCAGCTGGAAGGAATCCACAAGTGCAAGATATCACCACCACGGTTCACAGGAGAATACAACACCTTCGACTAATGGAAATACAAGATGACAGCATTCTTGGGACTACAAGACCCAGCATACAACAGACTGCTCAGACAGTCAGAGCAATCAGTAGGACAAGTTACAAACGACCAACTGGAGAATGCAGCACTTTCACAACAAGTGGCAGAGCAATGGATACAGCTAAGCAACAACTTACACTACATCTTAGTGAGCACATGCGATGGACCAGCATCTACAATCTGCAGACAAAACACACAAGGCAACGGCTTTGAAACATGGCGGCTGATGCATTCAAGGTATTCTATACCACTTGGAACAACGAGCATTGGATACCTTACACGGCTACTAAAACCACAATTTGATGAACAGAAGCTCTAGAGCTTCACAACTTGGGAGTTCCAACTGTCCAAGTACGAACAAGACAAAGGTGAAAGGTCACATCACAAACCTTTACAAGAATAACAATCTGACAAAGGATTTCATGGTCCTCCAGCACATCATTATTCCAATTCAGAAGATTTTGGATACAGAGGATGCGCTTGACAGCATACATGCTGGATTTTCGATGGCTTTGAGCTACCACACCTACCCTGCGGTACAGGCTATCAGCGAGCCATTGAAGACACGAGTCATTGACTACATCGTGCAGCATGGCATACAGTTGGGTGGCAACAACATGGCTTTGATACCTGGACAAATGATCAGCGACTCCAAGAAGTGGGCAGTACAGTGATCCTTTCGCAACGGCAAGGATACAAGTTGTTGAACAAGAAGAAGATCATGGGCGAAGGCATTTGAGGTGTACATCATGTACTTGGCTACAGAGGCACAGCGGACATTTGGGAATGTGCAGTTACAGCATGTTGATGGTACAGCAGCCGACACCTGAGGGACACCGTTGTACAGTCAGATACTGACATGAGAATCAGTCACTGGCTTACATCATCCTGAAACATTAGGTTACCAGTGCTTTCGGAGTGTACAGTTAAGATTGTACAATCGTAGAAGGGGTGTTAAGTACAAGCCACTGTACAAATACATGCACATCCCTCTCCGCTGTTTGGTACAAGGCCTTGAGCCCACAGTACGTTGCCCCAGATAGGAAAAGACTACAACTGTGCCGAGTCGTTCACATCACAGGCTTACACATTCAGGTAGTTAGGGAGATTACACAGTCAGCTCTACTTTAACAAACAAAAATATAATTTAATATTTATAATTATATATATATATCCTCCAGATGCTCAGAGTGAGCACCCGGTTTCGGAGCTCGGCTGACGCGCGCGGAGCCGACCTTTGCATCGTCCACCAGCTGGTCCTTGAGCTCTTGCAGGAGCTGAGCGACCTGGCAAGTCACGCAAGTCACGCATTCAAAAGCACAATTTACGATGAGTCCCCAAGGACCTTGGATCTCCAAGCAAATCTTACTAAAACTCCACATAAAAAAAAGGTCGGATCTCCTAAAGGACCCGATCCAGTGGCTCGAGCCGCTCGCGATCAAATGGGCAGAAATGGCCGCAAGGCATGGCGGGAGTATCCCATGGCCGGGTGTTGAGTAGGGACAAATTCCTTGGTCCACCAGTAGGTTTTAGAATAAGGGCACCAACTTTTTTTTGTAGTCTATTCTAGTGAAGGATGCCTCCCCCAGAAAACGGTAAAAGGGCACTACTGGGGGACCTAGATTCTGTGGACGATGCGATGCTCGGAAACAAAAGCCTGGAACGTCAGGTTGCCGGGAAGCCAGGCGGACCCAAATACGACTGGGAACAAAGCACGCACAAAGAGTGCGGAGGCTCTTCGCCCTCTGAGAACTCGCCCAGTGGGGTCAATCATATCTCCGAGCACCCGGCACCCAATTGTGAACTACACAGGTCCCGAGCTTCCTACTCTCAACATTTGTGGGACATCGGCAGCAACCAAAATATAAGTGAAACTCCCATCGTGACTACTTTGTCTCGTGCAGGGGGGCTGTCCCTTCGATAGGAAGCCCAAGTGAAAGCTTAGAGTCAACATGAACCTCACGAATTCATTGGATGACCAAACATGGGCCATTAGGAATCCTAAGTCCTTCGAGTAGCATTTAGAATTTACCCGACAAGCATCACAATCTAGGTGAATTATAAAATTTCACCAACCTGAAATAAGGTTGTCTTTTGGGTTATTCACCACACTCGTGTGAGGTCGTTACAATTCACCCAGATCCCAATGGGTTAGAACACCCACTGGGCTCATCCGAGTCCTCCCTCCGTCGGGGAGGGGGATCATTTTCGAACACCGATATTGGATCATTTTTGAACACCGATGTCCTGGATCATTTTCGAACACAGAGTGGGTCATTTTCGAACACATGGGGGGGCTATTCTGCGGCACCCGTGGGGTGGTGGGGGGGGTGGGGTGGGGCAGTTGCGTTCGCCTCTTACTGCGTGCCCGTGCAACTGCGCCCTGGGGCTGGGGGAAGGGGGCAACCAGGAGGCTCCGAGTCCCAAGTTACCTTGGCTTTTTGAGCTAAGATGTCCTCGGCGACTTGCGCTCGTTGGCCCCCGTAAAGCGGTGAAAGCTCGGTCTAACGGCCGTAATAACTCGCGCGGGAAACTGAAAGGCCGCTACTACTCCGTGAAAAAGCCGTGAAAACTCGTGAAATTTCAAGCTCTGAGTTATCTTGTCCTCGCGACACAAAAAACCTCCTTAGCTCATACGGCCTAAGTAACTTGCGAATCGGAGCCTCCTGGAATTGCGATCGCCGCTTACTGCGTGGCGGCGCAACTGCGTATTGGGGCTGGGGGGGGGGTGGGGTGGGGCAGTTACGTTCGCTTCTTGCTGCGTGACCGTGCGACTGCGTCCTGAGGGGGGGGGGGGGATGGGGTGGGGCAGTTACGTTCGCCTCTTACTGCGTGACCGTGCGACTGCGCGCTGGTGGTGATGGCGGTGTTGTTGGTAGCGATGATGACGATGTTGATGATGATGGTCATGATGATGATGATGATGATGATGATGATTATGTTGACCATGTTGATGATGATGATGATGATGTGATGATGATGATGATGATGACGGTGATGATGTTGATGATGATGGTGATGAAGTTAATGATGATGATATTGATGTTGCCGATGAGGATGTCGATGGCGATGACTTTGATGATGTCGATGATGATGGTGATGTCGACGTTGATGTTGATAATGGTGATGATGTTGTTAATGATGATGATGATGGTGATGATGTTCATGTTGACGATGTTGATGATAATTTTGACGATGGTGATGTTGATGATGATGATGATGATAATGGTGATGATGATGATGATGATGATGATGATGGTGATGATGGTGATGTTGACGGTGTTGTTGATGATGATGATATAGATGTTGGTGGTGATGTTGATGATGGTGATGATGATGTTGGTGTTGATGTTGATGATGGTGATGTTGTTGGTACTGATGATGGCGATGTTGATGATGATGGTAATGATGATGGTGATGATGATGATGATGATGATGGTGATGATGATGTTGACGACGACGACGACGACGACGATGACGATGATGATGATGATGATGATGATGATGATGATGATGTCGCTTTGCGTTCCTTGTGCTTTGTGTTCCTGGATCTATAGTTGACGATTGTCTCCCAAAAGCACGGCGCCATCCATGTGCTACACGTGCATCGTGGTGCGTGTTCGTGCGCCTCATCGTGGTGTGCATGGACACTTGGAAAATGGCCGTGCTGCTGTAAATCACATACACTTGAGCAAAACCGCGTTCAAAAACGAGCCAACACACGCGTTCAAAAACGAGCCAAAACACGCGTTCAAAAACGACCACCTTCCCCCTCCGTCGCCTTCTTCAGTGCCTGACTCTTCTCGGTGAGTGGGGTGTCGCCTGTCCGGCCTGCGGCAAATCGAACGAAGGAAAGGCCTCTCGACAATGGGTCCGGCTCATGAGAGAACCCGATGATACCGGGGGGTATTCCTATGGGGTTTTCCATATCCCGGTGGTTTAATTTTGATCCATACCCAAATAATCTACATGGCTGTGGGTCAAAACCCCATAGCAAGCATCAAAATAGGTGGCTTAAATGGATGTTCCTCCCCCCCGAAATGGAGCCATAGATAAGTTATGCAACCCATGGCCATATTCCTATGGGGTTTTCCTATGAGGGTATTCCTGCGGGGCATTATGAATGGTTGTTTCCTATGGAATGGTCCTTTTGTTCACCAGCCCTTATAAGAAAAGGCTCGCTCAATACAGACACACCACAAAAACGACGATCTCTTTTCTTGCGCCGGGATCCATGGCAGCTTTCCTGGATGCTTCAGAGAAAAAAAAGGCCAGCTGGCAACAGAAACTGGCGAGCTGCGCAATGATCTTTAGCAGCATTCCGGTTTGCGGTTCAAAGAACATCCATGGCATTTTGTTTCATAGAACCTATACAATTGCCCAGTTTGGCTCCCCTGTAAGATATGAACACCGGGAGGCAAGTACCCCCTGCCATAGCCCAGATCTTGGTTTTGAAGGAGGATGGCTCCCCACAGTTTAAAGGGGACTTGCTTACCTGCTCAGAAACATGGAGCAATGCTTATGCATCATCCTGACCATTCAAGCCCCGGTAGCAAAGCCCTGCCTACACTGGCCCCAGCTTGCACCGAGAGCAACAGCACCTGAGCCACTTGCCCCACGGAGGTTGGTTAAAACTCCCATAAGACCGCCATTTAAGGCTGGGAACTGTAGTAGGGAGCCCCCTCCAAAGTGGTTGGTGGACGATTCATGCCCACCTAAATCATGTCCACCAGGTCGGGTCCCGAAACAACAATCCGGACCCATGATAGTCAAGCTTTGGGTTGGGGGCTTTTCTCAAATGCTGCCGGGTGAACGCTTCCAAAACCCAACATGCCCAACATGAGGCCTGGGGTGCCTTTGTGATTCTCATATTCTTCCATTTGCATAGGCCCCCTGTATTTACTTAGCAACAAAAACAGACACATAATTTCCAGTATAGTGATGAATTCCCTTTAAACCAACAAGGGAAGACTCAAAATGTTCATTTCAGCAAATGGAAGTATTAAAACAGCCCAAACAAGAACACTGCCCAAAGAGATGGGAGCCCAAAAAGGCACAGTTCCTCGTACGTGGTTCTTGTTCCTTGCAGCGCACGTCAACATCACTGGAGTTGGTGTTACTTCAATTTTCAGTCAGTAAACCAAAACGCGCCTAGATTCTGCTGGAACCTCCCAACTTGCACTCCTGCAAACTTTGTCAAACCTCCTTGGTGGACTCAGGTGCACAACTGTGCATGTGTCTCAAAACTACAGGTGAAAATCATCCGGATCAAATGTCAGATCGACAAAAGGCACAAACTAATTGCCATTCCTTCTTTCGCCCATCGCTCATGACAGAACATGATGGAACTTGGGCGCCAGTCTTGAAGAAGTGTACGTTCCGTTTCTTGATTAAGTTTGGTCTCCGTGCAATGCGACCAGTCCGAGCACCACTTCAAATAGCCGAACTACCCTCTACGTGCCTTTCCCCGTTCGTGTCAGCTGTCAGCTGAGCGCACATCGCCAAATCCATCCCAAACAAATCATGCTCTACTAGGTCCAGGAGACAGGTTAGAATAAGGGTACCCTTGTTTCTGTAGTCTATTTTAGTAGGGGAAGCCTCCCCCAAAAAGGGGAGAGAAGGGCACCCAGCTGGGGGACCTAGTCTAGTCAGCTTGGTCATCAGCACTCGTTGCCCCCAACAAATTAGGACTCCTGCACGCCTTCGGAACTCCCTGCTCCTTTGTTTCTGTGAGAACTGACCTGTTCAGTTGACTGGCCAACAAAGTGTACCCTCCCACCAACTAACATGGAAGTGCAAAAAGACCTTTCCAAGAGGAAAGTAGTCTTTCTACAGGGGTCTGTGCACTTCCATGTTAGCTGGTGGGAGGGTATTGATTTTAGGCCTTGATACCAACAACACAATTAGACGTTAGCTGGCCTCTGATGGGCTTACGCCCTGCCGGCATCTGAACCTCCCACAAACTTCACAACCTTTGCTATGGCCTTGGAAGAAGCTGACTTTTTCTTTTGCAGCCCCCAAGTCTAAAAATGAACAGACCCAACAGACTAAGAAACCAAACAACATGCCAATAACAGTGAGGAAAACACCCGACGCCTCTCTTCTTGCCAGGATGCAACAACTACGTTGAAGCAGGACGCCCTCAGCCGAGTCGCCGTGTCGCGCGCGTGTCAAGCTTTGCCCATGCATTCGCTTTTCTTTGGGGGGGAAGCGGGACCCTCAGAATTGGACCTTCCCCCAAAAGGTTGGCCAGAGAAGTAACCAAACTTGCTGTTTGCCACTAAAATGGTCTTTCCAAAAAGCTCAAAGCGCATGAACTCAGAGAGTGAGTGGAGGGCTCACAGAGTTCCAACCCCCTCATCCTTCATTTTGTTGTTCCGAAATTATGTGGGGGGTAACCATAGTAAGGAAATAAAACCGCTTCACGGGAAATAAAACCGAGCACCAGCCGGCACCATAAAAAGGCATTAAGGATATAGGCAGATCCAGCAAGAAAATAAAAAACAAACATGAGAAATAAAAAGATACGACGGACCGGACGGACTGGACGGATGGAGTGGCTGAGCCGCATGAGCCGGGCGGACTGGACGGACCGGACGGACCGCGGACTGGACGGACCGGACGGACCGCGGACGGAGCGGACAACGGACCGGACGGACCGCGGACGGAGCGGACAACGGACCGGACGGACCGCGGACGGAGCGGACAACGGACCGGACGGACCGCGGACCGACGGACCGGACCGGACCGGACCGGACCGGACGCACCGGACGGACCGGACGGACCGGACGGACCGGACGGACCAGAGCGGGGGGATGGGGGGGGGCCTGCAGCGCCCCCCCCCCCACGATGATCGAACAATGCCGACGACGATCGAAAAAGTGATGTTTCAATTAGGGGCAAACAGAAAAGGGGTGCGGATTTATTTTGGGTTTTTTCTTCGTTTTTCGTTTTTTTGGTTTTTCGTCCGGGCACATAAAATGTCGTATTTTACAGCATTTTCTCGCGAAATTGACGCATTTTGCACTAGCTCGTCAACATCCCCAGCATCGTTTTCAACATCCCCCGCATGTCCGACCAACATCCCTAGCATCACCATAGGGGTGTAATTCGGTCTCTGCAAAAAAAAACTAAAAAGTAGCGGGGGGGGGGGGTTGGGGGGGCGGCAGCCCCCCCCATGATGTTCGAAGAATTGATGATTCAACTAGGGGCGCAATTCATTTAATCTCTGTAGAAAATCTAAAACGTAAGCGGGGGGTTTGGGGCTGCCGCCCCATGGTGTCGGAAGAAGTGGTGATTCAAGTAGGGGTGCAATGATTCAAGAAAGGGTGTGATAGAATTTAAAAGGCAGCGGGAGGGTTGTTCGAAGAAATGCATACATACCCAAAATGTCGTATTTGGCAACATTTTCTCGCGAAATTCGTACTCGAAAAAGTGATGATTCAAACAGGGGTGCAATTCAATCTCTGCTGGGCCAGTAAAGTGTCGTATTTTACTGGTTTGTTGTAGGACTCCGCAATTGCTCACTTTGATTGACAGGTGGAGCCGGCTCCAAAGCCGAAGCACGAGCCCCCGATCTACAGCAAGGCCGCTCATGTCATGACACAGTGTTTGCATTTTGGCACGTAATCCATAGGGCCTTGGGGCGTTTGCTGGCTGGGATCAAAGCCTGTCAGGAAACAAGATCAACATGCTCAAGGCCCAGCATCTCTCCCAACCTCGAGATTCGCGACCTGGGCCCTGAGCTGCATGTTGTCCCGATGCAACGGCCCGTGATCAGCCTGCCCAGGTCACGCATGAAAAAAACAAGAAGACTCAGCACCTACGCGCTCCTGGTATGAAGCCGTCCACCTCCGCTCCGCCTCCAGCTCCGTGCAAATCCTGGTGTTCTCCCGAACCTGGCAAAAAAGGAAGTGCATACAAAAAAAAGAAGCCCCCCCTGACCTTCTCGTAGAATTGCTTCTCAAGGGCATCCTGCCGTAGCAGAGCAAGAACAAGAGAGCAAGCAACCCGACCGCAGCTCCTTCTCAGCCTTCACGGCCTTCAGCTCGTCCAGCTGCTCCTGCATCCTCTCGATCATTGCATCCTGCGGTCAAGTGCAAGCAACCCCTTAACCCCGCTCTACAAAAGTCTTGCCTTCTTAGCCAGCTCTTGACGCACCTCGTCCTACGGCCCAGCAAGGAATGCACGCTCTATCCAAACCCAATGACAACACCCCGCATCTCCTTCCAGGAATTGTAGTCCGCCTCGCGCTTGATCTTGGAGGGCGGCCTGCGAGCGGTGCGAGATGACACAACCCTTGAAAAAAACCCAACAACGACAGGCCTGTGAGGCTTCTTCCAATAGCCTTGCCAACCAGTGTCCTCACAACAAACACATGTGACGTTCCACAGCCCCACCCACCCCCCACTCTCCTCCCCCTGCCAGTACTGCCAGTTCTCGCCTGCGATGCAAAAACGTGGCATGTGTGATGAGGAAACTGTGCCATGTCCTGACCAGGAGCTCATTGCGCCCGCCGCCCCTGCCCCAGCTAGGTTCGTGCACGTTTCCTTGGCCTCAATTGCCTGCCTCATGACCTTGACATACATGTTCTACCTTCATGACCTTGACACCTGCATCCGATCCATCACAGCATTTTCTCGCGAAATTGACGCATTTTACGCTAGCCCGTCAACATCCCCAGCATCGTGTTCAACATCCCCCGCATGTCCGACCAACATCCCTAGCATCACCAACAAATCGTGGGAAACCAAATCCAAAAATGTAGCTGGCGGGCTAACGGGGTGAAAAAAAAATAATGCTTCAAACAGGAGGGCATCTCAATCCCAGCCAGAAAAAAATAAAACAGAGCGGGGCTGCCACCCCCCATGATGGTCTGATGCTTAGAATAGGGGTGTAATTCGGTCTCTGCAAAAAAAACATCTAAAAAGTAGCGGGGGGGGGGGGGGTTGGGGGGCGGCAGCCCCCCCCATGATGTTCGAAGAATTGATGATTCAACTAGGGGTGCAATTCATTTAATCTCTGTAGAAAATCTAAAACGTAGCGGGGGGTTTTGGGCTGCCGCCCCGCGATGTCGGAAGAAGTGGTGATTCAAGTAGGGGTGCAATGATTCAAGAAAGGGTGTGATAGAATTTAAAAGTCAAAAAATCCATACATACAGACAGACATGGACTGCACAGATTACCTAAAATGTCGTATTTTGCAATATGTTCTCGCGAAATTGGTACTCGAAAAAGTGATGATTCAAACAGGGGTGCAATTCAATCTCTGCCGGGCCAGCAAAGTGTCGTATTTTACAGCATTTTCTCGCGAAATTGACGCATTTTACGCTAGCCCGTCAACATCCCTAGCATCGTGTTCAACATCCCCCGCATGTCCGACCAACATCCCTAACATCACCAACAAATCGTGTGACGGGGTGAAAGAAATGATGGGCATTTCAATTCCTATTAAAAAAATAAAATTAAAAGTAGCGGGGGGGTTGGGGCGGGGGGCGGCAGCCCCCCCCATGATGCTTTTTGCAGAAGTGATGATTTGAATAGCGGTGCAATTCAATGTCTGCAAAAAGTCTAAAAAGTAGCGGGGGGGTTGGGGGGGGGCGGCAGCCCCCCCCCAATGATGTGCAATGATTCAAAAAAGGGTGTGATAGAAGCTTCCCCTATGATGTTCGAAGAACTGCATACATACGGACATACATGGACTACACAGATTACCTAAAGTGTCGTATTTTGCAGCATGTTCTCGCGAAATTGGACGCTCGAAAAAGTGATGGTTCAAACAGGGGTGATTCAATCTCTACAAGAAATCTAAAAAGTAGGGGGGGGGGGAAGGCGGCAACCCCCCCCATGATGTTTGAAGAAGAGTTGATTCAAATAGGGGTGCAATTACTCTGCAAACAATCTAAACAGTAGCGGGGTTCCCCCCCCATGACGCTCGAAAAAGTGATGATTCAAATAGGGTGGTGGTGATGCTGATGATGCGGAAAGCCAAATCCAAAAACCAATAGCCAAAAAGCCCGAAGATGCGATGCAAAAAAGCAAAAACGCTCCGAAGAGGCATTGGGAATGCAGAGGATGCGAAAAGCCCAAAAGCCACCAAAAGCCGCATAAACCAGCAAAAAACCAAAAAGCCTAGAAGCCCAGAAGCCGAGAACCGAAAAGCCAAGAAGCCAAGAAGCCAAGAAGCCAAGAAACCAAAAAGCCAAGAAGCCCAGAAGCCCAGAAGCCGAGAAGCCAAGAAGCCGAAAAGCCAAGAAACCAAGAAGCTGAGAAGCCAAGAAGCCAAGAAGCCGAAAAGCCAAGAAGCCAAGAAGGAGAAGCCAAAAAGCCAAGAAGCCAAGAAGCCAAGAAGCCAAAAGCAAAAAAAAAAAAAAAAAAACGTGAAAAATCATAAAATAAATACCCCTCCAAAGAAAAGTCTAAAAAGTAGCAGGGAGGGGGGTTGGGGGGAAGAGGGCCGCAGTAGCGGGGAGGGGGGGGGGTTTGGCGGGTTGGGGGCAGCCCCCCATGATGATCAAGAAAGGGATGACTCAATTAGGGCCAAAAACCATCATGATGATTGTTAAAGTGATGATTCAAACAGGGGCCAAAAAGCTGTTAAAAAAGTAGCAGGAGGAGGAAATATGATGGTTCAATTCAGGCACAAAAAAAAAGTAGCGGGGCGGGGGGGGCGGTGATCCAAAAAAGCTATGATTGAAACAGGGCCGCCCCCCCAAAAAAATATATATGAAAACGCAGGGGGGGGAGGGGTGGGGGGCGCGGGGGGGGGGGGGGGGTTGGGGTGGGAAACTGAACCGAGAAGTTAAAACAAAAACACATGCAGGAAGGATTGTGGCGCCATAGGCATTGAGCGATTGCGGAGGCGTGTTTTATTTTTTTATCTGTGTGTTTAATTGTCTTGCGCGATTCTTGCCCTGATACTTGTTCATGGGCTTTGCAAGCCAAGAACTAAATAAGGTAGAGGTTGTTACGCAAAACGAGGCTTGGGGGTTGCGCGGGCTTGTTTAGTTTGTTATACGTGAGTTTTATTTTCCTACGCAATTTGCTTTCTGCGCACGCATTTGCTTATTTTTGCTTTCGTCATTTTTTATTTCCCCGCGAGCGCTTTTATTTCCTCGCGGAACGTCCCCCAAATTATGTGGG